ATATGTAAATACTTATTTACAATTACATGTACTAAAATATTTTAATCCTTATTTCTTACTTTTTATCAGTATAAAATATGAAAAATACTTATTATTAAATTTAAATGAAATTTTGAGTAAGTAAACGTGTCTTACTTCTTAAAAATTTAGTTAGTTTAGAAAATCAATTTGATTTAATATACAGCATTTCCAAAGAATTTAATCTAAATATTATTTTTAGTATTTATATTTAGGATGGTTACTGGATTATTTAGTTTTCTTGTATTGTTTTTGTATTACATTTTTTTGAATTAATTTTAAAATTTAAATTTATATGGATGAAAATAGTAAAATGTCCTTTATAACTTTTACTATAATGCCTAAAATACAAATTCTCCTTTTCCCCATTAATTTATTAAATATATATTTTGAAGAATTTTCATTAAACTGCAAATCCAATAAAAAAATTAGCCTATATATGTATACTTTTAATTAAACACATGAATTATTTTTTTTTTTTTGTAAAATTATGCATAACAGATTGAATAGTTGTTATCTAGGACTTTTAAACGCCAGCAGCATAATTTAAAAAATATTGGAATACTTTTCACTACATTTGTTATGTAAAATTTACATAGTATTTTTACATATTATTACACTAAAATCAGTCCACAGCCCTTGGCTATTTTTATCAATTAAAATCCTTTTTTTGCCGACATGTGTGTCCATGGTACGTGACGATACCACAACAACATATTTGTTTCATTTTTTATACATTTTATTTTTTTACACAAAAACAAAAAAAATTAATCACTTTAGGCGTAGAACTAACTAAATAAATTTTAACTGAAAACAAAACTATTACGGAACCATTTTTGTTTTTGTTGCTATTTTGTCCAATTTAATCAATGATGTCCTTATACTAGTCCTATAAGCAAAAATAGAAAATCAAAAAAAAAAAAACTGAATTAAACAAACCTTATGTTTGCGGGCTTATAACTTATTTTTTAGGTTTTTTTATTGTGTTTTTGTTTTCTTTTTTTTTCTCGCCCTAAATTAAAAAAAGGCAAAATAAATGACCAAAAAAATGTGAAAAATATTTGGTGTTATGCCAAATAACAAATATAAATACGTTACGGAATAAAAGTACATGAGTTTGAAAATAAAATATAAAAAAAATTAATTTATAACAAACAAAAATATTGTAGAATGAAAAACAATTTTTTAAGTAATAAATTTGTGATTTTTTTTATAATATTTAACAGTGGTTCAGAAATATAGAAATGGGGTTAATTTTGACAACAAAAACTAACCTTTTTAAAAATTATCGTAATCTGTCCGTGATAAATATAGTGCGAAAAATGAGATATGATTGTATTGTAATCGAAATAAAATTTAGAATAATTTATTTAAAAAATTATGGAGAAATAGGACCACGATTGAATCTGGCTATAATATATAAGTCCTCTTTAAAAAAATTTTCAAAATGTATGGTCCATAATTGAGCACCCTTATAAGTCCCCTTTCAGCAAATATTTGTATATCCAAAATTGCATTAAAGTATCGGTATAATAACATGTTTAGGAACTGACACTCTCTTCATAGAACCATTATTCTGAAAATCGCTTAGTACATTATTTAGATCCATTAACAGTTTTATTCCAAATTAAAATATTATTGCTGAATAGTTCTGAATGCGAAATTTTAGATGACAATCTATATATCTATATATGTATATAAAAATCAATGTATGTTTGTTTATTTGTTTGTTTGTACCTTATAGGAGGCTAAACCACTGAAACGATCTTCTTGAAATTTTCACTGTATGTTCCTCAATATCTGGAATGAACAATAGGCTATTTTGAAATTGCAAGTCTGAGGGTTGCCACGCCCACTTCTTCAAAAGTCGAATATCTCGGATTATGGTACAACTAGAGTCCTCAAAATTTGTATGACAATTTTGACATCCATATGAATATTTGAAGGAAAAATGGGAGGACTAGCATTAGGGGGCGTGGCAACTGCCATATGAATTAAATACAAAAATTTGTATATCTGGGAAAGTATTAGAGCTAGAATTCTAAAAGTTTGTACCGGCAACATTGAAATGTAAACAATTTGAAGGAAAAGGTCTAGAAACAGGGGCGTGACAAGAAATCGAATGTACGAACCATAAATAATGGTCGTGATACTTTTTATACAAAGTTAAAAATGTGTATAATGATAGTAGTTGCTCCCATGAAAAGTAAATACATAGATTTTTATGTATATTACTTTTAGGGTAGCAAAGCACAATGGATATAGCTAGTAATTATATAAATTTAAAACATAGTTCTGTAAATCTCTCAAATTACCAATTTTTATACACTTATTCTCCAAATGAAGAGAGATGTTTTTTTCATTGAAGTCCACTGTTCATACTTTTAAAAAATTTTATTATAAAAATAGCAGATTGTTTACTCATATGAATAAATTTTATTAATCTCTAAGTTGTCACACAGTCTATTTTAGATATGACGAATATAATATTAAATATTTGTGGAATATGATCAAAGAATGATGTCGTATATATAATTTTTGACAATATTTTGATGGATTGTTTCAAAATTTTTACTTAAAAGAAAGCTTAGACCATATCCTTTAAAAGCTTTGCGGTTACTTAGTTACTTAAAATATTTTTTTTCACTTATGCCTTTGCATCTGTCCGTCTGTCTGTTAAAATTGTGCTATAAAGTATTAATGGGGAGGTTTTGTCTTAATTTTTCCTATTATTGAATTAACAAGAATTCTATTGAAATTCATCAAAGCGCGGCTCATCTGTGACAGGAGTATAATGTAAATAAATAAAGTTAGCAACACCATTTTATGCGCCATGTCATTTTATACAATTGAACAATAAAACACAATATGTTGTTTACATGTGTATGAGGAAGTGTTGACTCACATATACTAACACACATTTTAACATCCGCACACACGTATACGTTTACAAACTCATACATACACATTTGTTAACTAAAACGGATTGTTCCATTTTTACATGATATATTTTTAAAATTTAGATCTAAATATTTCAGCCAATTCATACGAGAAGAAACTGAATAGTTTTTTGAAATTATAAAAGAAGAGTGTTATCATTTAAGTATTTTTTAAAATTAATAGGATTGATAAAATATACAAAATAAAATAATTGTTTGTATGTTCCTGGAACTATGGTTTTTTACTTTTTTTAATTTCTTTTGCGAATGCCCTAGTATATGTAAATATTTTTGCATATACATATAAATGAGAGCAAGTTGCTGTATGTATTTTCTATTGTTTTCGCTTTAACTTTGTATTAATATTTTTATTTTACTAACTTTTTACGTTTTTTTAGTTCAACAAAAATGTTTTTTCATCTTTTCTAAAAAAAAAAGAATTTGAACTAAAATATTTATGTATATTCCCTAATATGTTTTTTATTTTATATATATTATGAATGCTTATGAATATGTGTCCAAGCTAAAAGTTTTTTTTTCTGAAAAATAATTTTTATTTTATTTATTTTCAATTTGTCATGGTTCAAAGAACAATCATATAACACATACACTTGTATTTCGTCCTGTTTGCTGTATGCTTAGAAAAAATCCTTATTATTTTTACGAACAACTGTTTTTTTTTATAAAAAATGTTTGTTTTAAAACTACTTTTTTTGTTAAATTTGTTAAAACAATAGTATTTGTTATGTGTTGCAAAACAATGCGGAATTTTTAATAAAATAAAACTTTAGCTAACAATCACAAATAAATAACTTAGAGTTAAAAAAAATGCAAATTGAAATGTAATTGGAAAATCTATCAATTAGTTTATTTAAAAATATAATTCAGTTAAAGTAGAATATTGAAACAATTAAAAATTAAAACAAGTAAGAGTTGTATATTCAGCTGTGTCGAATCAGATGTACACTGCACCATTATGTTTTATTGCAGAAAAATTTTTAAAAAGTAAAATTAATTTAGATGTTTTTATATTATTTTATGATACCCTACACCAATATAGTGAGGAAGGTATTATACGTTAGTGTTGATGTTTGTAACACCAAAAAATATTAGCACTACAACCAACTTAAAGTACCAATCGGCTCAGAATCTCTTTCTGAGTCGATTTAGATATGTTTGTCTGTGTGTCCGCCCGTCCGTCCGTCTGTCTGTCTGTCTTTCCATGTAAACCTTGTGCGTACGCTATACGTCGCAATTTTCAAGATAATTTGATGAAATTTAACATAATCTTCTTTTGAAAGAAGAATATTGAAAATGGTTAAGATCGGTCCATTATTTCTCCTAGCCCCCATACAAACGTACCCCCGAATAGGGAATTTGAGCTCATAATTATGTTAAATGTTAAAAAGTGTCACGTAGTTTTATGAAAATCTATATAATACTGTCGATTTTCGTAATGATCGGACCTCATTTGACCCTAGCTCCCATACAAACTCCCCTTCAGAAAATGACTTGAAGGTCAAAATGCACTTATAAACACTAATAACACGATGAACGAATTATTCAAGATTTTTATCAGGGAGATATCTGGGGACTTCTGCAATTTTCAAAATGTAAGCCCCTTAAACTAACCAAATCAACATCAATGATATATATCCAAGACACTAAGATCCTATATTTTATGAGCTGCTCAAATATGGTTACACAATCAGAGGGAACATTTTCCGAATGCAACCAATTAGTTTGATTAGTAATATTTCATTCGATCAATGCAGTACGCTCTTCAGAGTAGGTTACCCGAAATCGGCTTGATTAGTTCTTGGCCTCAAAAGATGAGTAGTACTTTTATAGCGAAATCCTTATCTTATGGTTTGGAAGTTTTGACTCACCATCCTTATACTCCAAACCTTGCCTCGTCTGACAACTAAAGCTTTTAAATTTAAAACGAAACAATTCAAAAATAAACAAAATATGTTTCTTTATACAACCTTATTATTTCTTAGCAATAAAAAGAAAATAAAATCTTTAAATACCAAACGCTTAGTGAAAAATCCTCACTTTATTACTGCTACTGTGCTCCTTAATGAGGCTTTAAATTTTACACTCTTTTATATGAAACTAATTAAAATGTTCCAACAACAATCACAAGAAAAATGTCCTGCGGCAACGCCTCTGAAAATAACAATTTTATACATTAAAATAACATAAACGAAATGAGGCAAGAAAAAATATATAAATAAAATAAAAAGGATGTACATAAATCAGTCCGTCTAACGATTTGCACAATATAATTCTTCTTATTTGATGTAATGTAATGCTCACCTTGTTGAAAAGTTATTACATACTTTTGTTAGTGTTGTCGTTCAGGCGTTGGTGTTATTCTAGTAAAATCCCTTAAACATTTGCCAACATAATCTCTCATAAGTCCCTACCACCCCACTCCATTCTACTAAAATTACTCCTTCCATAATGTGTTGTTTGCATTTGAGTGAGTTAAATAAGTTGCTAAGGTAAGTTGTCCGTCGTCTTCATCCTGTTTAGAATTGAAATAATCAAAATGGCAACAGAATGAAATGGGAAAAAAATGTGTAAAATGTTCTTAATGCCGGAATTTCTAGCTACAGCTAAAAATACTGGTAGTAGTGGTGGTATATGGCACCATAAAGTCTTTTTAAATCTTTTTTATTTTATTTTAATTCCACCACAATGTTTTGTGTTGTTGTGCTATTTTGGATTTTATTTTTCATTACCTCAACTGCTAATGATACCTTTGAGTTTGTATTTACTTTCTGCTGTTTTTTTTACATTTTGCTCCTTTTCCTCTTTACTTGTTTTGTTTCACTTTACACTTTTCTATTCCCTAGTTAGCCAAAGGAGTTTTCATATATCTATTTTTTGGAGTCCTTTAACAATTTCATTTCGCTTTTGTTTTTTTTTTTTCTAATTTTCTTATTCTTCCCGTTATGCATTTGTCTTTGTTACTTTAATTTTGTTGTTGTTGTTGTTGCTGTTTTTGATTATAAAGGCGTAAAACGATTTACAACTCTCTCGACTACAATGAGAGATTTTATATTTCATTACGGAATATACTATAGTGTGATGATTGTATGTGTCTGAATGTCAGTCTGTGTATAAGACTAAGGCTAAGTGAATGGACTTATGATTTTCCCAGCAAACTTATTTTATTGAAAGTAATTAAGTAAGAAGGGACCATTAATGTTTTTATTTAATACAAAGGAACATCGCCTGAAGTATTGAAATTTTTTCTCCAATGGAACATTGTTGTGGAAACTAGTTCCGTATAGTAATGAAATCTAGCTTCCCATTAAAGTCAAAACTTCTTCTAACTATAAGAGATTTCTTAAAATCCGCAAACTGTTATTGTTATTGATCATAAAAAGGGTTTAGGAAATCCGTCAAAGAACAAATAGAAACGTTTTACCAGAAAATCTAAAGTCCCACATTACACCAACTCTACTGGATGCTACAATCAAAGGGAAGCCAAATATGTTAAGTATTACTAAACTAGACTATAGACTAGACTATAGACTAGACTATAGACTAGACTATAGACTAGACTATAGACTAGACTATAGACTAGACTATAGACTAGACTATAGACTAGACTATAGACTAGACTATAGACTAGACTATAGACTAGACTAGACTATAGACTAGACTATAGACTAGACTATAGACTAGACTATAGACTAGACTATAGACTAGACTATAGACTAGACTATAGACTAGACTATAGACTAGACTATAGACTAGACTATAGACTAGACTATAGACTAGACTATAGACTAGACTATAGACTAGACTATAGACTAGACTATAGATTAATAAAATTAAGATAATCAAAAACGACCAAGTAATGCTCTACTACAGTTAAGAGGGTTCATTAATTTCTTAGTGATTTTCATTAAAAATACATTTTTATATATAAATCCTAATATCCTAAATAACGGTCCAATTGAGGAAATATCAAAATTGTTGATCTAGACTAGACTATAGACTAGACTATAGACTAGACTATAGACTAGACTATAGACTAGACTATAGACTAGACTATAGACTAGACTATAGACTAGACTATAGACTAGACTATAGACTAGACTATAGACTAGACTATAGACTAGACTATAGACTAGACTATAGACTAGACTATAGACTAGACTATAGACTAGACTATAGACTAGACTATAGACTAGACTATAGACTAGACTATAGACTAGACTATAGACTAGACTATAGACTAGACTATAGACTAGACTATAGACTAGACTATAGACTAGACTATAGACTAGACTATAGACTAGACTATAGACTAGACTATAGACTAGACTATAGACTAGACTATAGACTAGACTATAGACTAGACTATAGACTAGACTATAGACTAGACTATAGACTAGACTATAGACTAGACTATAGACTAGACTATAGACTAGACTATAGACTAGACTATAGACTAGACTATAGACTAGACTATAGACTAGACTATAGACTAGACTATAGACTAGACTATAGACTAGACTATAGACTAGACTATAGACTAGACTATAGACTAGACTAGACTATAGACTAGACTATAGACTAGACTATAGACTAGACTATAGACTAGACTATAGACTAGACTATAGACTAGACTATAGACTAGACTATAGACTAGACTATAGACTAGACTATGGACTAGACTAGACTAGACTATAGACTAGACTATAGACTAGACTATAGACTAGACTATAGACTAGACTATAGACTAGACTATAGACTAGACTATAGACAAGACTATAGACTAGACTATAGACTAGACTATAGACAAGACTATAGACTAGACTATAGACTAGACTATAGACTAGACTATAGACTAGACTAGACTATAGACTAGACTATAGACTAGACTATAGACTAGACTATAGACTAGACTATAGACTAGACTATAGACTAGACTAGACTATAGACTAGACTATAGACTAGACTATAGACTAGACTATAGACTAGACTATAGACTAGACTATAGACTAGACTATAGACTAGACTATAGACTAGACTATGGACTAGACTAGACTAGACTAGACTAGACTATAGACTAGACTATAGACTAGACTATAGACTAGACTATAGACTAGACTATAGACTAGACTATAGACAAGACTATAGACTAGACTATAGACTAGACTATAGACTATAGACAAGACTATAGACTAGACTATAGACTAGACTATAGACTAGACTATAGACTAGACTATAGACTAGACTATAGACTAGACTATAGACTAGACTATAGACTAGACTATAGACTAGACTATAGACTAGACTATAGACTAGACTATAGGGTAGACTATAGACTAGACTATAGACTAGACTATAGACTAGACTATAGACTAGACTATAGACTAGACTATAGACTAGACTATAGACTAGACTGTAGACTAGACTATAGACTAGACTGTAGACTAGACTATAGACTAGACTATAGACTAGACTATAGACTAGACTATAGACTAGACTATAGACTAAACTATAGACTAGACTATAGACTAGACTATAGACTAGACTATAGGGTAGACTATAGACTAGACTATAGACTAGACTATAGACTAGACTATAGACTAGACTATAGACTAGACTATAGACTAAACTATAGACTAGACTATGACTAGACTATAAAACTTCCTAAGATGTCTTTACAACTCCGACACACAATTTTACCTCTCCACCTTCTGTGAAATGCTCATTGGTTAATTTAAAACTGTAAATTTCTACAACTCGAAAAGATTTTTGAGTTTTCTAAAAAGCTTATTATTTTTTGGTTCTTATATATTTTGTTTTTCTTCTCTTTTTCATTTTGTGCATCATATATAATCCTTTTTACTTTAACCTCATTTCTAAATACAAAAAATATTTTCTACGGCAGAGATTTAAACTATAACTTAACTTTATGTTCAGTAACTTTACTTAAATTTCTTACCTTATAAAATAAAAAGTACTTACAAAGTAAATGTAGCACCCCCTATACCAAAACACCCACAGTTTCTTGAACTATCCTTACCTACGGGGCTTTTCTATGAAGATTTTATAACTGCCAGGTTGCTTTCATTTCATATTTTAGTATTTCTTTTTGTTCCTAATGAAAAGTCATTGTTATAAATGTTGTTGACTTTTCTACTGCTAAAGCCGCGATAACATTAACTATTTCTTGGTAGCTGCTGTGGTGAGGCTTTCCTTCTTCTACTCCTTGAACGAAGCGTAACATATTTTAATTTTCATGTAATTATCATAAAATGCTTGTGGAATTATTTATTTTAATTTTGGCAAAACTTTTCTTTTGACCAAAAAAAAGGAACTTTTAAGAAACTCTTGTATCATTTCTTTACATTTACTTTGGCTTTATATTATTTCAGTTTTTGGTTGCTGAAGGAATGAGTTAGTTAGAAGGGTGGTTTTTTGCGAGGCATTAACGTTGTTTATTTATTGATTTTACTTCTATTGCCGCTGTTGGCGTGGATCCTTTCGTTATCTCATGAATAAATTAAACAGGTTTGTTTTAATTGTCTTAAAATAATTATGCCTTGAAATTAAACCTAAATAAATGAAATATAAACAAAAATATGTCAAAGTTAAATGGCGGACACTATGGGCTGAGTACAGCTGAACTTGTTGCACCATTAAAATTTAAATATCTCATAAAAATTTAATCATATTTCTATATTGTAATTGAAACTCGTGTTGAATGTATTACAGTATTACCTTAAGCTTTAGTTCACCACTTCGTTTATAATTTTCTAGCATTAACAAGTTTTTGCCCATCTATTGTTAGTTTTCAAGCCACTGTGCATAATATTAAATTTCTAGATTTCCAAAGTGATTTAAAATTTTGACAACTTGACAGCTAACCAACAATTAATTATTTGAAAATTTTAATGAGTTTCTTACTAAATAGTTGCGTTTCATATTCAACACATTTTAAATTTGTTGTATCGCATTTATATTGATTTATAAGTTAAAACTTTAAAATTTAATAAAATTAATAAAATTTTTTAAGAAATTTTTCTTACTTGTTATTTAAAAATTAATTTTGATTATAAATATGAAAATATATTAGCCAAATCTTAGTGAATGCACTTCAAATCAAATATTTACAGACAAAAGCACAAGTTATGAAAAGTATTTTTTGTTTTTCTATTGACTTTAATTAAATAATAAAATTTAAATGCCATCAATGTTTGTGTTTGTTCAATAAGTGTGGTATATTAAAACAAAAACAAATTAAACAATTTCTTTCTTTTCAAAATTAATTTATGGCATATTATTGACTAGAAGAAAACAAAAAAATGACAACTGAATTAACAATAGGAATATGACGAAAACATAGAAACAAATAAAAAATTAAAATGATCAAAAACGACCTAGTATTGCTCTACTATAGTTAAGAGGGTTCATTAATTTCTAAGTGATTTTCATTAAAAATACATTTTTATATGTAAATCCTAATATCCTAAATAACGGTCCAATTGAGTAAATATCAAAATTGTTGATCTCTCTTATCTTCTATCTATATATATAAAAATGTATGTGTGTAAGTATGTTTGTATGTTTATATGCTTATATGTTTGTATATTTGAAGTTTATAGACAAATAAGCGGCTCAACCGATTTTCTTCAAATTTTCACAGTGTATTCCTCTATGTCTGGAAGAGGTTATAAGCTACTTTTTATTTTGAAATTTCAAGTGGGCGCCCATATTATATCTGAGATAATATAACAGTTAGAGTCCTCAAACTTTAGTGTCAATATGATTATTTAGGACAAAAAGTAGGCGGACTAGCAGCAGAGGGCGTGACACCTCCCATATAAACAAAATACAAAAATTATTTTATCTTGGAAACTATTACAGTTAGAATCTTAAAATTTTGAACAAAGAACTTTAAAAACATGCAAACATTTTGGGTTATAAATTGACGGACTATCAATGAGGAGAGTGGTACCTCCCATATGAATTAAATACAAAAATTCTTTTATTTGGGAAACTAATAGAACAAAATTCTTCAAATTTAGCACGAAGAATTTTAATATTCATCTGAACATTTTTTAAAAAAACAGGGCGGATTTTGATTTGGGGGGCTTGGAGCCCCCATATAATTTAAATAGAAAAATTCGTATATCTGAGAAACTATTAGAATCACCAAATTTTACACGAAGAACCTTGGTATTCATGTGAACATTTTGAGTTAGTTAGTTAGTTAGTTAGTTAGTTAGTTAGTTAGTTAGTTAGTTAGTTAGTTAGTTAGTTAGTTAGTTAGTTAGTTATTAGTTAGTTAGTTAGTTAGTTAGTTAGTTAGTTAGTTAGTTAGTTAGTTAGTTAGTTAGTTAGTTAGTTAGTTAGTTAGTTAGTTAGTTAGTTAGTTAGTTAGTTAGTTAGTTAGTAGTTAGTTTAGTTAGTTAGTAGTTAGTTAGTAGTTAGTTAGTTAGTTAGTTAGTTAGTTAGTTAGTTAGTTAGTTAGTTAGTTAGTTAGTTAGTTAGTTAGTTAGTTAGTTAGTTGTAGTTAGTTAGTTAGTTAGTTAGTTAGTTAGTAGTTAGTTAGTTAGTTAGTTAGTTAGTTAGTTAGTAGTTAGTTAGTTAGTTAGTTAGTTAGTTAGTTAGTAGTAGTTAGTAGTAGTTAGTTAGTTAGTTAGTTAGTTAGTTAGTTAGGTTAGTTAGTTAGTAGTTAGTTAGTAGTTAGTAGTTAGTGTAGTTAGTTAGTTAGTTAGTTAGTTAGTTAGTTAGTTAGTAGGTTAGTTAGTTAGTTAGTTAGTTAGGACGTACGTTACAAAAACTCCGAAGAAATACCCTTAGTTGTACACGATGTCGTCTCGACAAGACCCGTACCTATTGTGCGCTCATATAGAATATTATTTTTACTTAGACATACAGTAGAAATACCATTTTTTTGTGTTATTGGGGTCAGATACTTACCATGCCCGCTTATAAATAAGTAGTTAAATAAGCTGCTAAATAAAAATTTTAGTAATACCAGCAAATATCTTATTATCTTTTCAATGTAAGTTTTTCCTGGGAATTGCCGTGCTTGCTTACAAAGGGGAAGTTATACAAAATGTTTTGCTTGAAAAAATCGTGTAACTCATTACTAGAGAACTTCAAAGTAATGCATATTTTATGAAGTAGTCATTGAAAAGTAACTTGTAGTCATTTTGCTGGGTTACTTTGTATTAATTTTAAAATCGAAATAAAGCAAGACGTCTTATCGGTCCAGGTATTTAGTTTAACGGTATATGTCGTTAACTTAGCAACGTACATACTTACGAATTCCTATATTTTTCAATTGAAAATTTAAACACATTTTGTTTAATGATTTTTTTGTTGATTTTAATTTTTTATTATAATGAAATATGAATTTCTTGAGCTTTCATTTGATTTTGTTTTTTTTTTGTATGGTTTATTAAAATATTTGTTGTTGTAATAATTAGTTACTATCATTATCGTTATTATTGGTTTATGAATAATTTTTAAAATTATAATTAATTTTTATACTGTTATTTAATTAATTTTGATGATTTAATTTTGTTTGTAGCTTAACTACTCAGTGTTGCTTTTTTATTATTATTTTATAATATTTAGTTTAAATATTTTAGGTTTTACATTAAAAAAATTATAATTAATTTATTAATTTTAGGTTTAACTTTTTTTAATTTGTTTATTCGTTTTACAAATGAAACTCTTTGAGTTTTTAGATTCTTTTATTTTTTTTATTTTTTATTTGTAACTAAACTAAAAGCTACTCTAAATGTTTTTTTGTTTTTATTAATGTTATTAAATATTTAGTTTTATTAATTTTAAATAACTATTCATTATTTATTATTTAACATTAGTTGAAAGTTTCTTTTCTCATAATTAAGCAGTTTTTTTATGTATTATAGTATGTTTAAATACTAAAAGTTGTCAATTTTTCTCTTTATTAAGTTTTGCACATTTTTTCTTTTGGCGTCTTAAAAATTAGAAAAATTAAATTAAATTTGTTTTTAAATTTATTTATGAGTTTTGATGTTACCGCGCTTTTTTCGTCTAAGACTTGTTGTTGTGTTGTTTCCTGTTATTACTTTTAGTATTTTCTTTTTACTTATAAAATAATTTATTTCATTTATAACAACTAAATTATAATTATATGTTTTTTTTAAAGAAAATTTTTGATATTTACAAAATTATTATGTTTGCTTTTTGTTTCTATTAATTAAATTATTTTCAATATTCGCTTGTTTTTAGTTATTTTAACAATCACTAACCTAGTTTGTGCTTAAATTAAATTTTTATTGATTTATAAATATGCTTAACATTTTGTTAATTATTTTTCGTTTATTTATTTATTAATTAGTTTATAATAAATATTTTAATATCATAGATTTAATTGTAGTTTTAGTGTTTTAAATATATATTTTTTTAATTTAGTTTGTATCTAAATATTTATTTTTTATGCATCTCTTAAAGAGTCAACAAAGCAAAACTTAAATTTTCTTCTTGTATTTTATTTTTTAGTGTTTTCTCTATATTTTATATAAAGTTTAGTTGTTAATTAAGATTAAAAAAGTTGTTAAACAAATTAATTTAATAAGAATTAGATTAAATAGAAAAAAACTCTAAACAAAAACTATAAAATGTCTAAAGGTAAAAGAAAATAGGTATTTAAATTGTTTAGAAAGTAAATTTAAAAGAAAGCTCAAGGAGTTTTGTTTAAGTATGTATTTAATTATTTGTTGAATAATAAATTTTAAAATTTTTGTGAAAAGTAAATGTTGCACAGAATCAGAATAACTTAATAAACAATTAAAATTTTCATTATATGAACTCAAAGAAAACAGTTTGATTTGCCACATTTTGTTGATATCAATAAAAATTTAGTTAGGCAAATCAAAATTTTTTTTGACGTTTTAACAAAAACCATTAAAAATGGTTGATGTAACTCAATCATTTATTTAGACAATAAATTTTATTTTCTCTGTGAAATTTTAAAGCATGGTAAACAAAGATCTTAATGTCAACTTTTTATAAAAACTTGAAATCAATGCTTTCACAAGAGCTTTTAAAAGAAGCTTTAAAACATAGCGTTCTAACAAAGCTTTACATAAAGCTTTCTAAAAAGCTTTTAATAAGGCTTTCTAAAAAGCTTTCTGAAAAGCTTGGAGTAAAGCTTTAAGTAAAGCTTTCTAAAAAGATTTTAGTAAAGCTTTCTGAAAAGCTTTAAGTAAAACTTTCTACAAAAACGTTTAAAGCATTCCACGTTAACCCTCTGCAAAAGCTTTTAAACAAAGCTTTCTATTACTATCTCGATTCTATGCAACATTTTTTGTATTTTTTACGATTTGGGACTTAAAAATTCAAATCGGTCTATGGAAATTTTCTTTAGTGGATCTTCATTTAAATTGGTCCCATTTACGGTTAATATGGAGACTTTTTGGAATTTTGATTTTTACGATTTTGGAAAAATTATTTTGATTTTTTGGAAGACATTTCTTTATTTGGTAATCTAAAAATAAATTCATTGTATATTAATCAGCCTAATTGTAATCAAATATAAATTTTGTCTAGATGTTAAAAATATTAAATTTGACACGAATAACATTTGAAAATTCAAGTAGTGAGTTTCACAATATTTTAGCTAATCTCTAAGTCAACAACTTCTGAGATTAATTTCAGTGAGTTTCTCCTCTAAATTTTACCAATGACGTGGTGGAATTTCTGAAGAAAAAATATTCTATAAAGTATATTTCTAAATAAAATATTTTAATATTCTTTTTATAAAAAATTTGCGATAAATTTTAACTCTATAGAATTTTTTCTATAGAAAATTGCTCTTTTTTTCTACAGAAAAGTTTAAAAAAATCTTTTTTCTATTGAAAATTTATCAAATATTTTTAATTGATAAAAGATTTATTGAAATTTTTCTATAAAGAATTTTTATAGAAAATTTTGAACAATTTTCTTGTTAAGGAACATGATAAATTTTCTTTTTATAGAAAATTGTCAATGAATTTTCTTTTCATAGAAAATTTTCAAAGAATTTTCTTTTAATAGAAAATTTTTGATAAATTTTCATTTTATAGAAAATGTTTGACAAATTTTCTTTTCGAAAAATGTTCTTGTTAAAGAAAATTTTTGATGAATTTTTTTTTTATAGAAAATTTTCGACTTTTCTTTTTATAGAAAATTTTCAAAGAATTTTTTTTAGTAGAAAATTTTCGATGACTTTTTATAGAAAAGTTTTGATAAATTTTATGTTTTTAGAGAATTTTTGATAAATTTCATTTTTATAGACAATTTTTAATAATTTTTTTTATAGAAAATTTTTAATAAATTTTATTTTTATACAAAATTTTCAATGAATTTTATTTTAAAAGAACATTTTCAATAAATTATGTTTTTATAAAAAAATTGCGATAAATTTTCGTTTTTTAGAAAGTTTGCGATACATTTTCTTTTCATAGATGAAGTTCCATAAATTTTATTTCCATAAAAAAATTTTCGATAAATTTTCTTTTTATAGAAAATTTTGCTGAATTTTACTTTTATGGAAAATTTCGATAAATAGTCTTTTATGAAAAATTTTACTAAATTTCCCTTTTGTCGAAAATTTCCGATATACATATTATCCTTTAGATAAAATATCCTTTTTTAGAAAATTTTCCATACATTTTTTAAAAAAAAAATTTCGATAAAATTTCCTTTAATAGAAAGTTTTCTATAAAATTTCCTTTAATAGAAAGTTTCTATAAATTTTCCTTTTACAGAAAATTTTCGATAAATTTTTCTTCTATAGAAAATTTTCGATAAATTTTCCTTTTATAAAAAATTTTTCATAAATTTTCCTTTTATAGAAAATTTTCGATAAATTTTGCTTTTATAGAAAATTATCGATAAATTTTGCTTTTATAGGAAATTTTCGATAAATTTTGTTTTTATAGAAAACTTTCGATAAATTTTGCTTTATAGAAAATTTTCGATAAATTTTGCTTTTATAGAAAATTTTCGATAAATTTCCCTTTTATAGAAAATTCTCGATAAATTTTCCTTTTATAGAAAATTCTCGATAAATTTTCCTTTTATAAAAAATTCTCGATAAATTTTCCTTTTATAGAAAATTCTCGATAAATTTTTCTTTTATTGAAAATTCTCGTTAAATCTCCCTTTTAAAGAAAATTTTCGATAAATTTTCCTTTTATACAAAATTTTCGATAAATTTTCCTTTTATACAAAATTTTCGATAAATTTTACTTTTATACAAAATTTTCGATAAACTTTCCTTTTATACAAATGTTTCGATAATTTTACTTTCATACAAAATTTTCTATAAATTTTCCTTTTATACAAAATTTTCGATAAGTTTTCCTTTTATACAAAATTTTCGATAAACTTTCCTTTTATACAAAATTTTCGATAGATTTTCCTTTTATAGAAAATGTTCGATAAATTTTCCTTTTATACAAAATTTTCGATAAATTTTCCTTTTATAGAAAATTTTCGATAAATTTTCTTTTTATAGAAAATTTTCGATAATTTTTCCTTTTATAGAAAATTTTCGATATTTTCGATAAATTTTCCTTTTATAGAAAATTTTCGATAAATTTTCCTTTTATAGAAAATTTTCGATAAATTTTCCTTTTATAGAAAATTTTCGATAAATTTTCCTTTTATACAAAATTTTCGATAGATTTTCCTTTTATACAAAATTTTCGATAAATTTTACTTTTATACAAAATTTTCGATAAATTTTCCTTTTATACAAAATTTTCGATAAACTTTCCTTTTATACAAAATTTTCGATAGATTTTCCTTTTATAGAAAATTTTCGATAAATTTTCCTTTTATAGAAAATTTTCGATAAATTTTCCTTTTATAGAAAATTTTCGATAAATTTTCCTTTTATAGAAAATTTTCGATAAATTTTCCTTTTATAGAAAATTTTCGATAAATTTTCCTTTTATAGAAAATTTTCGATAAATTTTCCTTTTATAGAAAATTTTCGATAAATTTTCCTTTTATAGAAAATTTTCGATAAATTTTCCTTTTATAGAAAATTTTCGATAAATTTTCCTTTTATAGAAAATTTCGCAAAAAATTCTTTTTATTAGGAAAAATTTTCTTTTTATAGAAAAATGTTCGCAAACTTTTCTTTTAAAAAAATATAAAAATTTTTCTTTTTATGGAAAAAATTCCGCTAAATATTTTTTATTGGAAAAATTTTCTTTTTATAGAAAAATGTTCGGAAATATAAAAAAATTTTCGCAAAATTACCTATTGAAAATTTTGCAAAATGTTTTTTTTCTATTTTCTTAGACTTTTCTTATTTTTTTTAGATATTTTCTAAAGAAAATTTTTGGATAAATGTATTTTTAATTGAAAACCAGATTAATACATTTTTCATATTTTTTATACCTGCTTGACACAATTAATCTAAAATATTTTGGAATATCAGTTTTATTGTAAAACTCACAACTTTCAAATTAAATCGGTAATACAATTTATATAATCCTAAAGTTTTTTTGGCATTTTCTTAAGACGGAGAGTTTTCAATGTGGTCCATTTTGAAAATATGTAAATGCATGCAGTGCTAAATTTCAAGAAAACTACTTTAATAAGTGATTAAAAAATTGTCTTCATTTAAGCCAATACATGTAATTTGCGAGGTTATAAGTTAAATTCCTTTTTATTAGTTAATAAACCAGCTAAAAGAAATCGATTTAAAATTTTTTTGAAATTCTTTTATAGTTAATTGGATTTACTATTATAAAGAAAAATGATTTTTCTTCTTTTTATTCAACAACTTGAATTGCTTTATTTAAACTATAAAGTACCCCTGTGATTGGATTACACTAAACTCTTTCAAGTTTCTTTCTTAAGATTTCCATCTCCTTGGAAAGAAACAATTATTATAAATTATCATAAATTGTTGGCACAAAGAAGTCGTAACACAAATCTGTTAAAGATTTTTTCATTACCATCAGACCACCTACATACATTTTTATCTTTCTCTCTCAATCTTAACTTAATCGTTTTTAATCTAATTTACCTTTTTGAAAGTAAAAATATACTTGACTGGGGAAAATTAAGAAAAACTTAAAATGCCTATTACTTATTTTCTTAGATTTTTTTTCGTAGGAGAATAGAGTTGATTACACTATTAAAGGGCAGTTGAAATTTTAATATGTTTAAGGCGGCACAGTGGGAACGTTTCGAAAAAACATGGAAAGTAAATATACAATTTGTAAATAATCAAGGCTTTTTATGTTCAATGAGTAATTAAGATTTTGAATTGCATCTAATAGATCCACAGATTTCCATAAATTCTAAACAATTTTTTTATTAAATTTTCGTTTTAAAAAGTTTTTTTTCAAATCAAAATTTTCTATAATTTTTTTCGTTAAATTTTCTTTCTAAAGAAAATGTTTATAGAATTATCTTTCTATAGAATATTTTCGTAAATTATCTTTTCATTAAAAATTAGACTAAGCGGTCATGGATTACATATTTTTCCATTTTTTTTTTTTTCGAAATCATCCCACTGTGCACCACTAACAAGAAAATAAACAAAAGACCTAAATTAAGAAATAGTAAGAATAAGCAAAATTTAAAATATCAACTTAAGCTCTGTATCAACTGAAGATAAAGAAAAACCTTTGAGGTATAATTCATAAATGAAAATGCTTCTCCCTAAGAACAAAAAATATCCATACAAAATTATAAAGACAAAACATCAAAAATATGAAATTGTTGAAATGGCACAAATGATAGGAAGGACCAAATTATAATCCCACAGACACACACTCTTCCATACATACAACTTCTTAAACATTTATACTTACACATACATACACAAACACACTTAAACTACTTACGTACATAGATATTATTATAGAGTTTTATATTTTTCTGTTTTGTTTTGTGTTTTTTAATTTATTTTTAAAGTTTTATTTTGAATTAAACCTCAACTTACTATTTACTACGAGTACTAACAAGCGACGTTATTCAAATGATTTGCTCCTAATACTACACCCGCTGCCATGTAACCAACAACATTGCCATTGCCTTGATAGTGTTGCTGATGCTGAGGATGTTGTTGCTGGTGATTGTGATGATGGTGCAGATGATGATGATGTTGATGATTATTGTGGTTATTTGCAAGTGTTGTTGTTGCTGCTGTGGCTGCTACAACATCAACGTTTGTTGAAGCCGTTGCTGGAGTCGATGCTGATGCTGATGATGCCAAGGACGACGTAGCAATTGTGGTTGATGTGGTTAAATTTAAAGTACCATTGCCACCGGCAATAACCGCATTACCGGCAGTCGCTGAGTTTGCTGTTGTTGCTGTAATACTGGTTAGATTCGCATTTGTCCCAACACTACCCCCACCAACTCCTCCACCCACACTACTATTTTCTGTTATTTTTAATATACCAATTGGTGTAGTGGCCGTTGCTGTTGTTGTAGCACTAGTGCTTAAACTAGTGCCACTTATATGAGCACTGATGCCACTTGGCACACTTGACATAATCGTGCCGCTTGTATTCACGCCCATTCTCAACAACTCCTCGTTGGGTATTGAGAAATGACGATAAGACATATAATCAGGTGGCATATTTGCCTGTCTCTTAGCATTTTCAATACGTTGCTTCTTCAGCTTTACATAGCTGAGCACTGAAATCATCACAATAAACACGATGATGCCCAGACAGCAGCCCACTATTAAGCCCAGACGTCGTGTTAGTATTGAGTGTATGAAGCCATTGGTGGCCAGACCATTTTCGTCTGTGATTACGCTGGGTGTAGAGTCCAGTGTTTGTACATCCGTGCAGGTGGAGAAACGTGAATTTTTCAACACTTCCTGCAGAGCATTGTCTGTGATAATAGTGTTTTCGATTAATGCCTGTTGTTGTTGTGGCTGGGCCAACGATGAGTGCTCGCCAAAGGTCATAATGCCATCTGTATTGTAAAAGCTTCCCGTGTATGAAAGGTGATAAGGTGTATATGACGACGACGAAGAAGTTGATGATGACGACGATGATGTTGTTTGTTGAGCTGATGAAGAATCAGTATAAACAGAGCCTGCTGATGATGACGACGATGGTTCGTCTCTTGGCATAAGGAAGGTGTCATTAAAGTGTATCCTTTGTAAAGCAATGGCTACAGGCTCCGATAGCCAATTACCGGTACCGATAACACAAATGTGGTAACGTGTATTTGGGCTAAGTTTTGTTAATTTCGCCGAATTGGCAGAGCCATTTAAACGTTTGCCGCGTATCTTTTTTATTGTAGAGGGAGAGAAAGACAAAACAAAAGGAACAATGAAAAGAAAACAAGTTTTAAGGACTTAGGCTAAATTTATGTGTATGTGTTGGTTATTGTTGTTGCTATTATGCGTGTTTTTGTGGCTTCAAATTGTGTTGTGTTATAGTTTAAATGACAAAAGGACTCATTGGTGGAACAAAATGTCTTTATTGATGTTTTACCTTAACTTAAATAGCAAGTTATTTAAGCATTTAATTTATTTTTCTTGCTTCTTGCTAAGCTTTTTTTTAATGTAATTATTTTTTATTTAACGGAAAAGTTTTCTTTTTCATCAGTACTGTTCAGATACTCAAAGTTTACTATAGCCCAGACTATGGACTAGACTGCAGTCCAGACAGTCTAGACTATGAACTAGACTGTAGTCCTGACTTTTAACTAAACTAAATTTTATATTATAGTCCAGACTATAGTCCGAAATTTTGGCTAAACTAAAGTTCAAAATACAATAAAATATATATAAGCTCTAGTCCAGACAGTAGACTAGACTTTAGTAGAAACTATGTACTCGACTATAGTCCAGACTAAAGATTAGAACATACTCCAAACTAAAGACTAGATAATAGTCTAGACTAAAGACTAGTCTATAGTCCAGACTATAGTTCAGACTATAGACTAAACTTTAGTCCAGACTATAGACTAGACTACAGCCCCGACCATAGACTAGACTATAGTCCAGACTATAGACCAAACTATAGTCCAGACTATAGACTAGACTATAGACTAGACTATAGACTAGACTATAGACTAGACTATAGACTAGACTATAGACTAGACTATAGTCCAGACTATAGACCAAACTATAGTCCAGACTATAGACTAGACTATAGACTAGACTATAGACTAGACTATAGACTAGACTATAGACTAGACTATAGACTAGACTATAGACTAGACTATAGACTAGACTATAGACTAGACTATAGACTAGACTATAGACTAGACTATAGACTAGACTATAGACTAGACTATAGACTAGACTATAGACTAGACTATAGACTAGACTATAGACTAGACTATAGACTAGACTATAGACTAGACTATAGACTAGACTATAGACTAGACTATAGACTAGACTATAGACTAGACTATAGACTAGACTATAGACTAGACTATAGACTAGACTATAGACTAGACTATAGACTAGACTATAGACTAGACTATAGACTAGACTATAGACTAGACTATAGACTAGACTATAGACTAGACTATAGACTAGACTATAGACTAGACTATAGACTAGACTATAGACTAGACTATAGTCCAGACTATAGACTACTCTATAGTCCAGACTATAGACTAGACTATAGTCCAGACTATATTCCAGACTATAGACTAGACTATAGTCCAGACTATAGACTACATTATAGACCAGACTATAGACTATAGTCCAGACTATAGACTAGACTATAGTCCAGACTATAGACTAGACTATAGTCCAGACCATAGACTAGACTATAGTCCAGACCATAGACTAGACTAGACTACACTATGCACTACTATAGTAGGTTTATAGTCCGGACTAAGACTAGTCTGTAGACAAGTCCTGACTATAGACTAGACTATAGTCCATATATAATCATCATTAAGACCATTTTATAGACAGACGTTTCACCAGAATTTCAACATTATATTTTTTGTTGCCTCTCGATGTGTAATTATTGTTAATTTTATTGCAGCAATTTTCGAAAAGCAACAACAAGACCTTAAAATTTTAAAACTACCAAAAAATAGTATATATGTAGATTAATCTACATGATGTTAAAAACATTGTTACATTTACAAAATGTAAATGAAAACTCCATTTTTTTCTTTCAAAAACTTACCTCATCTATATCAGCTGGACCACCCATACCACCTCCACTACTGCTGCCAACACCACCGCCACTGCCACCAGTTGTAGTACCTCCGCCACCACCACCACTTGTATCACTAGTAGCATGGTAAACAATTTCATAGCCGTTTAATCCTAAATGCTCACGGCTTTGCCAGGATACAATAACGGAATATGGCTGTATATCCTGTATGGCAATTTTCGGTATTAATGGTGCATCACAGAATTGTTGTGGCTCCATTTTGGCAAATATCTTGCCACGCAACTCAGCCGGATGTTCGCACCTTAGATAATTTAAATTATCATTCGATGACATCATTACCGATGCTGATGATGCTCCTGATGATGAGGGCGACATTAAGCTTGACGTTACAATCGATGTCGAGGCGGAAGATGATGTTAAACTGGCTGTGGAGGAAGACCATTTGCGATGATCACGCAACCATTCCCATAGTTTTTGTGCATCACAACTGCAATGCAGTGGATTTTCTGTAGATTTTTTTTTTTTTAGTTTTTCGTTATGTTATTTTGTTGGTATTTAATTGTTAATTGTTGTAGCCAGAGTTAAAGAGGTAGGATTAAATTTTTTTGGAGAGATATATTTTTTTTTTTTGTTTTTCATACAGTTTAATTATTGTTGGGCCATTAAATTTTGTTGTATGTATGTGTGTACACGAATGCATGTCGTAATCCAATTTCAAATGTAGGTTTCATGTTATCATAGTTGTTGTCCAAGTTGTTTGTGGTGAGAAATGAGAAGAAAAGATTTGGGTGGAAAAAAAAAAACTTTATTTAATAAAAGTTAAGTAGACGTAAAAGGCTTGTTATTATTGTAGAATTAATTAAAATATATGAGCATACTATTTTTAATTGTTTGTTGCCTGTTTAAGTGGGATTTATCTTTTTAAATTCTTTACAAAACCTCAACTGTTCCTGTTCATGTGAATTTTTGGAAAAAAAATTTAAATTTTTTTTTGTGAAATTAAAGTTTTTAGTCAAAAATGAAAAATTTTACTTTAGAGAAACATTTTTAATAAAAATTTCATTTGAAGCAATAATTTTAAAATTTTTATTAAAAATTAAATTTTTAGTGAAAATTAAATTTTTAGTGAAAATTTTGAAATTTTATTTAAGAATTGAATTTTAGTTGAAAAATTGTATTTTTAGTGAAAATTAGAATTTTTAGTGAAAATTTGAATTTTTCGTGGAAATTTGAATTTTTAGTGAAAATGTTATTTGTTCTAGTAAATCATATTTTTAGTAAAAAGTCACGATGTTAGTAAAAAATCGGATTTTTAATATAAAATTAAAAATTTTGTTAAAAAAGTACTTTTGATTTGGACTTAAATTTTCATTGAAATTTTTATTAAAAAATTAAATTTTTAGTGAAAATTTGAATTTTTAGTGAAAGTTTGAATTTTTAGTGAAAATTTGAATTTTTAGTGAAAATTTGAATTTTTAGTGAAAATTTAAATTTTTAGTGAAAATTTAAATTTTAGTGAAAATTTAAATTTTTAGTGAAAATTTAAATTTTTAGTGAAAATTTAAATTTTTAGTGAAAATTTAAATTTTTAGTGAAAATTTAAATTTTTAGTGAAAATTTAAATTTATAGTGAAAATTTGAATTTTTAGTGAAAATTTGAATTTTTAGTGAAAATTTGAATTTTTAGTGGACATTTGAATTTTTAGTGAAAATTTGAATTTTAAAATATTTTTAGTAAATAGTCACGTTGTTAGTAAAAAATCGGATTTTTAGTATAAAATTAAAATTTTTTTTTTAAAAAGGGCTTTTTGTTTGAGCAGACAGATTGGCAATTTATTATCATTTTCTATATAAGTAGCATTCAGGACTAAATGAAACATTAACGAAAAATTATAGACTTCAATATTTATAAAGAACCAAAGTATTTGAGGAATATACACACAGCAATCAAAACATCTTGTCTTTAAATTATAAATTGTGTATTTGACTTCCTTTAAATGTCCTTAACTTACCTTCCAATCTCAAAGTTTTAATATTCGTTTCCAGCGGCTGCAAAGCCTCAATTGGAATCAGTTCAAAGTAATTCTTTCTCAAGTCCAAAACATGTAATTTACGCAAATATCGGAAAGCATCAGTTGACAGCACAGTCATACGATTGCCCATCAAATACAATTCCACCAAACTATGAAGATTTCGGAAAGTTTTTCTCGATATACGATCCAATTGATTGAAAGATAAATCAAAAACTTGTAATTGAGCCAAATCGGGGCTAAACTCTTCCAAATCCTTTAAAACATTATTGGATATATTCAAAACACGTAAGAGTTTTAAACCCAACAAACGTTCTTTGGGCAGCAATTCCAATTCATTAACACTAATATCCAAAGTAAGGAGATTAGTTAAACCCTTAAAGGCTCCTGGCGAAATGCGAGTTATACGATTGTTGACTAAATGCAAGTGCTGTAAAGCTTGGAAGGCTTCAAAGTCTTTGGAGGTTAGGATGGACAGATTTGTTTGGCATATATACAATTCCTTAAGATAAGGATATCTTTCCTCTTTCACTGTATAGATTTTGTTAATGGGGTTACCGGTTAAATTCAGCCATGACAGTCTAGGTATAGATATATCCGATAAAGCCGAGCTAGGTATTTGAAGAAAACGATTACTGGACAAATCAACTTTTTGCAAATTTATAGAATGTCTGAGGAAATTGGCAGGCAAAGACAGCAATAAATTGCCACTTAAATCCACAGTATCCAATTGGGTTAAATTTACCGCATTAAAGCCCGTCAAGGAAGTGATTTTATTGTCCTTTAAATTTAAATGTCTTAGATTTATGGTACCGCTCAGCTTATAGAAATCTATGGTAGAAAATTGATTACGTGACAAATCCAACATTTCCAAAGTACTTAGGTTATATAAAGCAATATGAGGAAATTCGCTTAAACTATTGCGACACACTTTCAATTCTTTAAAGACATTAAGACCATAAAACAGATTACGATCCATGGTAGATAAGACATTATCACATAAATCCAATTTAACCAAATTGGTATTTTTAATAAACATATCCTCGGGCAAAGAAGATAAACTGCAATTAGCCATGGTCAAGTGCTGCAGGGATCTTAATTTATCAAACATATTGGATATAATCTTACCACCCACATGAGTAAAATTATTATGCGACAAATACAAGGTTCTTAAGCCGGGTATCTCTAGTTTTTGTATATCCATGGGACTTAATAAATTCCATTCCAAATTAAGATCATTTAAATTCTGCAACGACTTGAAAGTATTCATTTCGATTTTTCTTAAAGAAGTGTTTCTCAAATTCAAATGTGTCAAAGGCAAATCTTCCAAGAAAACATCATTAGTTATTTGATAAATGGGGTTATTAGAGAGATCTAATATTTTAAGACTTTTCAGTTTATTAAAGGCATAACCTTCTATGGCTTCTATATAGTTTTGTGATAATGACAATTCCTCCAAACTCACTAAAGCTGCAAAGTAATCTCTTCTCAATTGCTTCAAACGATTAAAGCTCAAATCCAAAAACTTTAAATTTTTCAACTTTGAAAAAGTTTCACGGTCTATATCACGTATAAAGTTATGACTCAAATACAAACGTGCCAAATCCTGTTGATCCTCAAACATAGATTTCTCTACACGAGTCAATTCGTTATAGCTTAACCACATTATTTGTATTTTATCTTGATTCTTAAAGGTTTTCGCATGAATCTTGTGCAAATAATTGGTTTCCAATTGTATGGTGAGGAGAGAAGAATTCTCTTTTTCCTTGGGAAATATATCCTCTAAAACGGTTAGTTGATTGTCTTGTAGATTTATGTGCTGCAGATTGCTTAAAGTCTGAAATGCACCCGGTTCTATATCCTCAATATTATTCTTTTGAACATGCAATTCCTGCAGGGCCGGCAAAGGTTCAAATACCCCCTTGCGTATACGTCTTATACGATTGTTATGCAGTCTCACTTCTCTTAAAAATTCCAACTTGCGAAACATGCCAATTTCCAAATCTTGTATTTCGTTGTTATCCAGCGATAAAGAAGACAATTTATGACATTTATCTAATAAAGTGACGGGTATTAGGGGTATAAAATTTGCTCTTAAATATAAATGATCTAAATTGACCAAAGTAGAAAAAACATTAGGATCTACATGGGCTACGGCATTGGACTCTAAATAGATAACTTCCACATTTGAAGAATTCGTAAAGGCATCTGCTGGTAATTCTAAGATATTATTTTCCGATAAAAATATTTCCCTTAATTGTGGTAAATTCGAGAAAACACCATTTATGGAATGTATATGATTATGCGATAAATCCACCGTTTGCAATCTCTTATTCTTATCGAATATTTTGGCATCCAAAGTGATAATACGATTGTGTGACATATCCAAGGACATTAGCTCTTTCAAACTTTTAAAAGCCTCCGGCTTAACCACTTCTATTTGATTGGCATACATGGATAGAGTTTTCAGCTGAGGAAATGTTCTAAAACAATCATCACCAATTTCGGTAAATTGATTTGAACTCAAATCCAAAAATGTCAAGGAGGGTAATCTTAAGGCCGCTGCTGCACTGGCATTATTTGTTGCCATCTGTATGTCACCATAGAATGTAGAGATTTTATTATTGGACAAACGTAATATACGTAAATAGTCTAGTTTCCTTAAGGCCAATAGGGGAAATGTTCTTAGACTATTTTCGGATATATCAATTTCCTGTATCGATTCCTCCAAACCCACAAAACCATGTTCGGGTATGCCCTGCAAACGATTTCCCTTCATATTCAACTTGGAGAGACGTAGACCATAGAAACTGTAGTCTTTAATGTTGGAGATTTCATTGTAATCGAAATCTAATGCACTTAATTTATGCATGGAATTTAATGCTCCCGATGGTAACTGCAAGTAGAAGAGAAATTGGGATTCGTTATTAGTTTAAATGATAAATATTTTATGAATTTTTAAAAAAAAATTTATATTTGTTTTGGCCTAAATTATTACCAGACTATTTTTTGATCAATTAAATATTTAATCATTATTAATTAATTTTATATTTTTTCTTGTTTATTTTCAGGTAAGTTTGTCTGCAAAATAAAACTGTATATCTGTTACATTTCATGTAAGTCCCTATTTTTTTAAATCGATTAGAGAAGTTAAAAATTATTCCAAATACATATCAAGTAAAATTTCTCTCGAATATATTTCTTATGATATACATACATAGCAATCGAAATATATTTAAAATTCTGTAAAAATCATGTTTTTTCAGAAATTTGTTCTTATCTATTCTGTAAGTTTGTTGGTTGTATTCTAGGCTGTGAGTACTTGCCAGACTTCTTATTATAAGCCGAGAAACCTTTTTATCATACCAAACGGATTTAATATAGAAAGGTCAGATTTCTGTCTTTAGTATAATCGACACAAGCCTATAATTAATATGGGCGGTGTCAGGCTGATATGAATTAATATGAATTAATTAAACTATTCGAATTTTTGTATTTAGTTCATATTGCTTATTCGACAGCTTAAATACACAGCTTAGATACTGCTAAATTTTAGGTTTCTAGTTTCAATAGTTCCCCAGATATACAATATTTTCTTAAATTCATATGGGAGGTGCCATGCCCACTATTGCAGGTCCGGATATGTTTTCTTTATTTAATGGTTTCCCAGATATACGATTTTTTGTACTTAGTTCATATGGAAGGTGTCACGCCTCCTATTGCTACTCCGCCAATTTATTAACCAATTGTTTATATGGATATCAATGTTGTTCGTGCAAAATTTAAGGAATATAGCTTCCCAGATATAAGAATTTTTGTATCTAATTCATACATATGGGAGATGCCACGCCTCCTATTGCTAATCCGGAAATTGTTATCCTAAATTGTTCATATGAATTTCAATGTTGTCCCGGGCACAATTTCAGTGTTCTCGGTCTAATGATTTGAAGGGCCGTTTCAAATGGAAGGTGTCACGCCTCCTTATACTTTATTGAACCCAAAGATATTAATACAAAACTTGAACAGTCCAACTGTTCTTGTATTCTACAGATGTAGATTTTAGTATTTACTTAATAGGAAGCTGACATGCCCACTTTTGCTGGATCGTCAATTTTTCTACAAAATATTTATATTTAAACTAAAGTTACTTGTACAAAAATTATCTAGAATCTAGATGTTATAGTTTTCCAAATATGCATATTTTAGTATTTACTTTATATGGGAGGTGCCACACCCACTATTGCTAGTTCCCCCACATTTGTCCAAAATGTATAAACATTTTGGAAAATAATTTACAAAACTTTAACAATATAACAATATAGTATGTAATGCAGTATATGTGGGCGTGGCACCTCTCCCACTTGAAATTTCAAAATCAAAAGTAGCCTATACATGCTTCCAGACATACAGGAAGACACTGCAAAAATGCCATGAAAATAGGTTCAGGCGTTTCGCCATCTACAAATTTCAATCATACACATATGCAAACACACATTCATTTTATATATATAAAGATATAGGCTAAAACGAATCGAAAGATTTGATGTTCCTAAATTATTAAATATAAAATTTACTTAACTAATAAAATACATTTTATTAATATCATGTTTCAATTCAATTTCACTTTTATTCAATTAACTTTCTTGAACATAAAAATAACCATTTCAAAATTAATTTTCCTTAAGCCATACTAATTGAATTTCTTATTGCATCTCCCCATATGACCAGATTTAAGATTTTCACATTCATAATCCTCAACACGAATAAGTTCTATGAAGTAAAAGAAAAAAAAATTATGAAAAAGTGTAAGAAAAGTCAAGATTTAAGCAAATAAAAATTAAAATAATTACATTAAACCAACATACAACATCCCAAGCATTTGTACCTTTACTTTAGCAGTAGTAGAATAAAATTTCAAGAAATTAAATTCTTTAATACTTGATAGATGAAGGTAAAGTGCCGTACACATACACACACATATATAGAAATCAGAGTAAAACTTACGATTTCTCAAACGACGTTGACAATTTGCACGTTCTGCCTGGCACGCAGTTAGCAATTGACATATGTCACCTTTGTGAGGACAACGATAACATGCACGTTTGCTATTATCCCAACAACGTAAACGTTGGCAATCACGCATCATCGTTCTTAGCTTACGATGTATCATTACCAAAGGTGGGGCACATTTATTACGTCCTGTCGTACCTTTTATTAAACGACAACGTTGCATGTAGGTTTGCATAAGCACTGAACACACACACACATGGGCACCCCAGCAAAAATGTTCGACATAAAAAAGTATTAAAACATTTTACATGAAATTTATTTTTCACTCTTTTTTTATGATTGTAAGTTTTTTTCCTCTGTCTTGCTTTTTTTATAGTTTTCAGTCATTCATAAAATCACTAACTATTTCCATAAAATGTTTTCAATTTATTTTGTGTGGCAGCAACAAAGAATTCGAAATAAAAAAGACATAGAGAGAAAGAATGGCAAATAAAAAGCCAGAAACTCACTTGATTGTTTGCGACTTCTTAAACGACAATTTAGCTCACGTAGTTCACATTCTTTTAACTTACGACAATTGCGACCATCTTTATCCTGGGCACATACAATCTGACTACGTATCCGTGAGCTACATTGTCGGCGACATGGTTTCTGTGCAGCCTCAATTGCTGCAGTGTTCACAAGTATCAAAAACAAAAATGCTGAAGGGTTTTTGTGTTCGTTCAGTCGTTGGTTGGTTGTGCAATAAAAATAAAAATAATTTCATTAATTCCATTTAGTTTTAATATTTTGTCGTTGAAATCCTTACCAAATACTAAAATGATTTTATTCATATTTATTATTATTTCTTGCCGTTAGTTTTTGTATTTTTTGGTTTTTGCAAAATGTTTGTTTCTGTTGCGCAGACAGTTTCTGGCCATGTGCTCATGGGTCTTTAATTAAATTGTGTGCAAAAATCTGACAATAATTAAAGTGTTTTAGTTGATTGTATGGTTTAATTGTGTAGAAAATGGGAATAATGGCCTTTTAATGAAAAGACTTGAAGACAATAATGTCTGCTTTTAATTGTATTTACACAAAAAGATTATGAAACAAAAATGAAATGTGTTTATGAATGCAGGTTTATTTTCTTTTATTTATTGTCCTAAATTGTTAAATGTAAAACATATTTATTTGTTGGTTATTGTTTAACTAAGAATTATTAAATATATAAAAATAAAATTAACCGACATTTTTCTATAAAAAAATGATTTTTTCCAAAAATTCGCTGTAAAAAGAGAATTTACCGAAAATTTTCTTTAAAACAAAAGAATTTATCGAACATTTACTATAAAAAGAGAATTGATCGAATATTCTCTATGAAAAGAAAATTCTCTATAAAAATATAATTTATCGAAAATTCTCCATAAAAAAGAATTTATCGAAAATTTTCTATAAAAAAGAATTTATCGAAAATTCTTTATGTATAAAAAGAAAATTTATCGAAAATTCTTTATAAAAGGAGAGAGTTTATCAAAAATTCTCTTTAAAGAGAGAGTTTATCAAAAATTCTCTTTAAAAAGAGAGTTTATCAAAAATTCTCTATAAAAACAGAATTTATCGAAAATTCTGTATAAAAACAGAATTTATCGAAAATTCTGTATAAAAACAGAATTTATCGAAAATTCTCTATAAAAAGAGAATTTATCGAAAATTCTCTATAAAAAGAGAATTTATCGAAAATTCTCTATAAAAAGAGAATTTATCGAAAATTCTCTATAAAAAGAGAATTTATCGAAAATTCTCTATAAAAAGAGAATTTATCGAAAATTCTCTATAAAAAGAGAATTTATCGAAAATTCTCTATAAAAAGAGAATTTATCGAAAATTCTCTATAAAAAGAGAATTTATCGGAAATTCTCTATAAAATGAGAATTTATCGAACATTCTGTATAAAAAGAGAATTTATCGAAAATTCTGTATAAAAAGAGAATTTATCGAAAATTCTCTATAAAAAGAGAATTTATCGAAAATTCTCTATAAAAAGAGAATTTATCGAAAATTCTCTATAAAAAGAGAATTTATCGAAAATTCTCTATAAAAAGAGAATTTATCGGAAATTCTCTATAAAATGAGAATTTATCGAACATTCTGTATAAAAAGAGAATTTATCGAAAATTCTCTATAAAAAGAGAATTTATCGAAAATTCTCTATAAAAAGAGAATTTATCGAAAATTCTCTATAAAAAGAGAATTTATCGAAAATTCTCTATAAAAAGAGAATTTATCGGAAATTCTCTATAAAATGAGAATTTATCGAACATTCTGTATAAAATGAGAATTTATCGAACATTCTGTATAAAAAGAGAATTTATCGAAAATTCTCTATAAAAAGAGATTTTATCGAAAATTCTCTATAAAAAAGAGAATTTATCAAAAATTCTCTATAAAAAGAGAATTTATCGAAAATTCTCTATAAAAAGAGAATTTATCGAAAATTCTCTATAAAAAGAGAATTTATCGAAAATTCTCTATAAAAAGAGAATTTATCGAAAATTCTCTATAAAAAAAGAATTTATCGAAAATTCTCTATAAAAAGAGAATTTATCGAAAATTCTCTATAAAAAGAAAATTTATCGAAAATTCTCTATAAAAAGAGAATTTATCGAAAATGCTCTATACAAAGAGAATTTATCGATAATGCTCTATAAAATGAAAATTTTTTGAAAATTCTCTATAAAATTAAATTTTTTTTAAAATTCTCTATAAAATGAAAATTGTTTGAAAATTCTCTATAAAAAGAGAATTTATCGAAAATTCTCTATAAAAAGAGAATTTATCGAAAATTCTCTATAAAAAGAGAATTTATCGAAAATTCTCTATAAAAAGAGAATTTATCGAAAATTCTCTATAAAAAGAGAATTTATCGAAAATTCTCTATAAAAAGAGAATTTATCGAAAATTCTCTATAAAAAGAGAATTTATCGAAAATTCTCTATAAAAAGAGAATTTATCGAAAATTCTCTATAAAAAGAGAATTTATCGAAAATTCTCTATAAAAAGAGAATTTATCGAAAATTCTCTATAAAAAGAGAATTTATCGAAAATGTACTAAACAAAATTTTCTATGAAAATTTTCTATAAAAGGAAAATTTATCAAAATTTTCTATAAAAGGAAAATTCATAAAACATTTTCTTTAAATAGAAAATTTATAAATAATTTTTCTAAAAAACTGGACAGTATTAAATAATTTTCTTTTATCGTAACAACTTTATTTTCAATGACATTAAAGAAAAGTCTAAAACGGATAATAATAGTTCATCATTATAAAAATCATTTTCAAACTAACCACTTTTGGGAATAGGCCGACATTTTTGATATCTACCGCCACGCTTCAAGCCAGCACAGGCACGTGAATCAGTTCTTCTCAAAGCATTACCCCGACCACGACGACAATTGGCCCGAGCCAATTGGCAAGATGTTAATAGGCGACAATTATTCCTTCTACTGCGATAACAGTCTAACCTCTTGCTGGGTATAGTGCAACGAATTCTATTACATTCAGGACGAGTGGCTCGTGGTCTGCGTCGAAGGGCGCAAGGACCACTACCCAAAGGACTCTTAATATTGCGGCATAAAGAACGACGGGTGCTAGTTAAACCTTTGAAAAATAAAGATATTCTTTTAAGATTATCAAATTAGATAGGTTTAAAATTATACTTACGTGGACGATTCAATAAACTACGTCTGCAGTTTTCTTCTCGCAGAGTACACTGACGAATTTTACGACAAACTTTACCATCTCTTACACATCTTATTACACTGGGTACATTTTTACGGCATACAGGCCTACAACGAGCAGGACTAGTGGCCTCTGTGTAGGCTATCAGTACCACAAGGCAAGCTAGTTTTTTAATAAGGACATTGATTTGTAATTTATGTACATTTTTTTTAAGTTTTTACTTAAATTTCTTACCGAGAATTAAAATTCCTTTATTCATGTTAAAAGCAACTGATATTGCTTGTCGATTTTCCACAAGTTTATATACAAAATATTTTAATAAAACTTTTAAATATTTCCGATAATATTACAATACCTTCTTTATTATTTTATACAATAATAAATTTAAATTGTAATTTTGAATATTTGTTTAAAATATGTATTCTATGATTTTGCTTGTATTATATATTAAACAAATGTGTTTTTAAACAAAAGAAATATAATTTATTATACTCGTTTTTTAATTCCGATGACTACTATTAATTAAATTAAAGCATATTCAATGAATTGGTGGGGGTTCTTTGTCAACATTTTTAATCAATCAGTTTGTTGAAATATCGACCACAGACCCTCAAAGCTTCTAGGTTTATCAATTCAATGAACGATAGAGCCTAAACGGGAGAATATAGGTGACTGACATTTTCACAAATCCACATTATAGAAAAGGGCTTCACTTAACGTTCATGCACTACCTTTTACAAATTTCATATAATAATGACATAAAAAATTCTGATGTAATATTGATAAAGTATTTCAATTGGCCGGCCTGAATTTTCTTTTAAATAAATTACGAAAATTTAATCAATTGTTTTAAAAACTACAACTAATTACAAAATTTGTATATAAACCCATGATACAACCTTAACTAACTATCAGTTCTGTTTCATCAATCACAAGAAAAAGGACTTAAAATGAATAAAGCTATTATCATATTAGGTAAGTTTGATTATTAACAAAAACCTTACAATATACTTTTATATCGTAAAATTTTTTTCCAACAGCCTTGCTAGTAATTGTTTTGGCTTATGCCGACGCCAGCAGGACCAAAAGGCCCAATCCTCAACGTCGCGATTGCTTAAAACTAAAATGTGATAATCCCAGTAGGAAGTTACTTTGTGTACGCAGCAAAAAGAACAATTGCCGTCTGCTGACCATCTGTCAAGTGAGTCGCTTAAATTGTCTACGTGGACCTCAGAATGTTTTAAATAGAACTAATCGTCGTCAATGTGCTGGCATTAAACAAGGACAAAAACGTAGATGTCGTCCTGCACCCAAACAAAGGGGTTAATCTGGAAATGATTTGTTTTATGATGACGATAATGATGATTTTTTTCTTATACTTATTGTTTAATTTGAATAAATAAAATTTTATAAATTGCAGTAAAATATACATTTTAAGAATATTTAAATTTCGACGATCTTTTTATCCAAAATTTGAAAGATACAAACAAACCCAGCAAATACTTTTAGTTTAAATGCTAAAATTTACCTTTTAAGTCATTAGTTTAACATGGTGATGTCATTGAAAGCGAGTAGTTACCACAAACGCTTACAAGTAATGAGAAACAGTAGTGCTTGTAAATCGCATGAAAAAACATATACACCTTCTATAGCTATACAGTAAGAGGACTAATGAATTAGAAAGTATTTATATAACACATTATTGGTAAGACCTTATTAGACTGCATCTATTTATTCCAGACGATATGTAGTAGTCATTGAAAAGTATGTTGTTCAAAAAAGAAGTCGGGACTTCAAAATCCACTCAGTTAGCTATTTTTTTTAATTATATTGATTTCCTTACTTGTGCTTGAAAAATTTCACTAAAATGTATTGCAGAAAAAATATAGAAAATTTCTAATTGTACTTCAGATAATTCCAATTAGACATTATAAAATTCGAATACCTAAGCAAGGAATTTCCGATAAAATTTTGAAGGATTATTTAACAACCGTCCTCAAAAATTCAAAGCTATTCTGTAATGTAGAGTCTACAGTATAAACCCACAAAAATATACTTATATTCTGGGTCCTTGTGTGACACGCAAATGATCTAGTTGTGTCCGTTCGTCTATCTGTAGAAAGCACAATAAGCTTATTTCGGTAAACTGTTGGTATTTAAAGTGGACAAAATCGGTTTAAAATTTCGCCTAGCTTTCATACAAATGTCTTCATGGAATACTTTTTGAAAATAAACACACATGTTGTTTATGCAGAAATCAAGATAAGTGATCATAAATGATCATTTAAAGTTCCTTTCTAAAAAGGGATATAGCATTCAAAATTGTCTTATAATAAAATAAGACAAGAATCTAAGTAACTCTATGAAATATTGTTTCGGATCAGGCCATTATTGATCATAAAGTCTGTATCAAAAGATAATAATTAACGATATTTTATATGACTTTTTTACTACATCAAACTACATACATATATCAAACTACATAGTACATATATACATATAAAGAATTCGACCTTATAGAGGCCCTCTTCCGAAAATTACTCTGATGTTCATCAAGTCTCAAATACTTATTAAAAAATTTTAAGTTTTCAAATAACAAAAGTTTGTTTAAATTGCAAGATTCTATTATTTATTCAAAGAATTCCATTCCTATATAAGATATAATCATTATAAAAATCATCAGCAAATTAACCACTTCTGGGTGCAGGACCACATCTACGCTTTTGTCCAGGTCTAATGCCAGCACATTGACGACGATTAGTTCTATTTAAGACATTCAAAGGACCACGTTGACAATTAACACGACTCACTTGGCAAATGGTCAGCAAACGGCAATTATTCTTCTTGCTGCGTACACAAAGTAACTTCTTACTGGGATTATCACATTTTAGTTTTAAACAATCGGGACGTTGAGGATTGGGGCGTTTACGGGAGGCTTCTGTGTAAGCCAGAGCTATTACTAGCAAAGCTGATTTTAATATAAGAGGAGTTATAAATTGGGCTCATGTTATGTAGATTAATGTGTATAAACTTACCAAGTATAATAATAGCTTTATTCATTTTAGTAGCTTAATCTTTATGTTGCAAGAATCAGACTGATGATTTTATCAAGCCTGTAAAGTTGTTTTTATATGAAAATATTTCGAGAAGTCCGATCACATTCAAAATATGTTTCTTTGGTTAAAAAGCAGCTGTTACATATTTTTTTAAATTACAATAAAGTCGATTTCTTTGTTATCATAATATTTTCTTCGGAAATATTGTCCAACTATTTCATCAGAATAGTTATTAATTCATTTATGCTAAAACACAATTATATATACATATATGATTCTTATGATTCTCGACTATTGTAGTAACTCAGATCGGAATCTATGGTGGGAATTGCACGCAAGAAATTCATGCTAATAGAACTAACACTATCGAATAATCTAGCAGGTCACTCATTCATGACACTATTACATACAAATTATAATGTAACTTTATTTATCAAACAGGATGATGCTTAATCTTGACTTTGTCATTCCGTTTGTAACACATCGAAATATTGGTCATAGACCTATTAAAGTATATATTTTTGGGTCCTTATTAAATTCTAAGACGATCTAGCCATGTCCGTCCGTCTGCCTGTTTAAAACACGATTGAGTCCGAACGGATATGAGCTAGAGGGTTGAAATTTTCTACAAATATTGTCTATAGGTTTATTTGGTATTGAAAATGGGCAATATTGGTCTACGTTTTTGGATAGCCCCTATACAAGTGGACCCCCGAAAAACAGCCTTAAAGTGTTAGTATAGCGATGAAGTTCAACATAAATAAGTTTCATATGAGCCAAAATCTCTCTACCAAATTTAATGCGGATTGGTTCATAATTGACCCTACCCCCCATATAAGTTCCCCTTCTGAAAATTACTTTAACGCACATTACTGGCTTTAAAATAAGAGTATAGCGATGAAATTTTAAATAAATAAGAGTCTTACCAGCCAAAATCTCTCTATCATATTTTATGGGGATCGGTCCATAATTGACCCTACCCCCCATATAAGGTCTCCATCAGAAAATTACTTTAATGCTCATTACTGGCTTAAAAATACGAGTATAGCTATGGAATTTGACATAAGTAAGTCTCTTTTAACCAAATTTTATGATTGGTCTATAATTGCAAATTTTCGATCAAATTCTACTAAAAGCATTGAAGAAATTGCTATCTAAAGTCGTATGGAAAATTTTTGCTAGGGCCAATAGGTGAAAAATTACACTTTGACCCGAATTTGACAAATTTTCTATTTGCAGAATCTTTTCGGTAAATTTTCTATTTAGAAACAATTTCCGATAAAGTATTTAGTTATAGAAAATTTCCGATAATTTTTTTTAATGGAAAATTTTAGAGAAATTTTCTATATCGAGGGACTATGTTCAATAGTCTCTATCTAAAATAATATAAGTTTTCAGGAGAGCAAAAAAACTGTTTATTTCGCTAGTTCGTGAAGATTTTTTAATTTTTTCTTTTACAATATATTTTTACGACCATATTCTAAACCATTATATAAAAAGAATTTTAATTTTTGCATTATTTACAAAATTATTCACAAATTTATATCAGATAGAGCTTATTTTTCTACGAAAATGTTCATTCAGCCAACAGATAGAGAGTTTTTCATGAAAACATAAAATTTTTATTTGAATTAAAATCAATAAATATTATATTTTATACAATTTAATGGAGGAAAAGAAACCAAATTGTTGAAAAAGCAACAGATTATAATGTTTTGGTCCAAAATCAATGTTATATGGTTAAACACGACAATAAAATTGATTTAATTAGTATCATAATGAGCGATATCTCAAAAACTATTAGACCGATTTTAAATATTTTGACGGATTTGTGTTCAGCATTTCCAAATTATTAAGAAGACTTGTTTTGCAACAGAAAATTATCCAAAGGGATCGAGTTTGAAGCAATTTTTGGATAAGATAGAGAGTTTTGCATTCAGAATTTTTCTTTTTTTAAGATAGAGAAATTTAAAAAATGCTATGAAATTGCCAAAAAATATTTTTTTTTCTTTGAAATTTATATCACTGATGCGCGATAGTTTGCTGAATATTTTGCCATCAAAATCTCATTTTCATAAAAATGACAGATAGCGACTATTGAATATAGTCCCTCGATATATAGAAAACTGTCGATAAATTTTTTATTTATAGAAAATTTTCGATAAATTTTCTATTTATAGAAAATTAAAGATAAATTTTCTACTTAAAGACAATTATGGATAAATTTTCTATTTATAGAAATAAATTTTCTACACAGAAAAAATTATCGGCAGTTTATTTTCAATTAACATGTTTTCCTCTTTCTTTAACTTTTATTTAAACAATTTTTTAATTGTCATAATTATCTCGTTGTTTTGATCCTAAGTATACAAATTTGATTAAACTTTTAATTGAATCAATTAATTTTTTAATTGGTTGAAGAAGTTTTTCCAGCCTACTTTTTTATTTTGGTTTTTTGTTTTGATATTTTATTTAAATAATTTCATTATTTATAACGGAAAATAATTCTCAAACAGTCAATAATATTTTAGGCATAAGAAGTTGAAGTTTCATAAATATTTTAAAATTTATAAATCACTTTATTTGTTCAAATGTGACAATAAAGAGATATTTTTGAGAGTGCTTAACGCATTGTTAAAGGTAAAGGAATCCTTTAATGTTGTAAGCATTCAATTAATGCTTTGATTGTTTCAATCATCGACTTTATTGATTTTTAATACATTTTTAACCAAACTGTTAAATTTATTTGATTAATAAACTAATTAAAATGTAAGTTTTATTTTATTAAATATTTAATTTATCCAATTAATGAATTAACTAATTTTAAATTTTGAATTTAATTACTGATGTTAATTGTTTTGATTATTTCTTTAATTGGAAAAAAAATATTTTTTTTACAAATTTCATAATTGATATCATCATTTTGTTGATAGGTGCAAAACTTGCTTGATACAATCAATTTGATAATTAAAACACATTTTCAGTTTTTTCTGTGTATTTATAGAAAATTTATAGAAAATCTATTTATTTGTAGAAAATTTTCTATTCATAGAAAATTTTCGACAACTTTTGATAAATATTCTATTTATACAAAATTTTCGATAAATTCCTTATTTATACAAAATTTTTAATAAATTACATATTTTTAGAAAATTTTGAGAAATTCTTTCAAAATTTTAAATTTGTTTGCCTTTTATTTTGCGATAAATATTTTCACAAAAAAAAACGTGTCTATCTTCATTTTTTGTCTGAAAGACACGTGTTATACTTAAACTCCTTATTAACAATTATTTAAACCAGACAGTAAAATAAATATTATTGATCACAACATAACAATCAATAATTGACATAGTTTCAACAATACAGTCTGATCTTAAATAAATTTACAAAAGCATAAAGTCGGTCATTAGGTCTGGCTGATCTAATTTTAGCAAAAAAATATATCGGCAAGCGTGTTGCTATTTAAAAACCCTATTATCTGTACATCAATATCATATTTTATATTTATTTAGCTGATGCAACAAATGTTTTCTATAGTATCAGGATAGGGAAAATATTCATCTTGCCCTTTAATAATTAAACAAGTTTTACTATAAATAGACTAGTTAATTGTAGGAAATATCAGAAGTTCAATTAAAATGAATAAAGCTATATTGATATTTGGTAAGTTTTTAATTACTACTTAAATATTTTTAGTACATTCTTAAAAAATAATACAAAAATCCTTTAGCACTACTTATTGCTGCATTTGCTTATGTCGAGGCAAATCGTTGTCGGTCCTCGTGTCGTAAAAATATACGCAGCCCCATAAGATGTGTCAGACAAGGTTCTCTATGCCGCAAAATAAGACAATGTTCTATAGATGCAGAAAATTGTAGACGTCGTTTAACTAAACAACCTCGTAAGTTGAAAAAAAGTTTTTTTTTTTAAATTAACTAAATATTTTCTAATTTATATAAACGCTTTATAGGTCTCACCACCACCAGCTTAGCTTTATGTCGCAACATTAAGGGACGTTTAGGTTCGGGACGCTGTGCTATTCGCAAACGTAGACCACGTTCAGTTAGACCACGTTGCAATCGTTTGAATTGTCCTTCTGGTAGTAAAAAACTAAATTGTTATAGTGATAAGCAAAACAGATGTCAGTTATTGACACCCTGTCAATTAGCACGAGCCAATTGTCGTCGCGGTCAACGTAATCTTTTAGAATGGGTTGATTCGCGTCGTTGTGCTGGCATGAGAGCAGGACAAAAACTTCGCAAATGTCGCCCAGGTCCCCGAAGAAGTTAAATTTATGAAATGTTTTGTTGAAATTGATTAACTAAAATAAAATTGAAATTGAAATGCAATAAATAAAGCAACGTTTTTAAATTATTTATTACACAGAGGGGAAAAGAAATATACACGACTGGTACCAAATTGACACCAAACTGTTTATAATTTTTCAATACCATACGTTGTCGGCAACACTATGTAATGTTGACAACAATGCAGCAATTCGTTGTCGAAATCTAAATTTTATACACATCCGCTGTCTAAATGTTAACAAATGTGGTAAGCTCACTATTGAAAAACAATCCGTTGCCTATAGAGAGATAACCACGTTTGTTAACATTTAGACAACAGATGTGTATAAAATTTAGATTTCGACAACGAATTGTTGCAATGTTGACAACCTTGCGTTTTTACTTTAATTAAATCTGTAAATCATTATTTTTTTTATTATATAATAACTACAAATTTCATTGCATTGACTAAAATAAAAAACAAATTAATTGAAGTAATCAAATTTGATTATCCTGTATCTTTAAGATTAAAAAAATAAAAATTGTACTGTTAACAATTTATAATGCTAACTTAAATACTTTTGTATCTGAATTCTAATCATTAATCTGAAATTTTATTTAGGAAATTTATCAAATATGAATATTACCTTTATATATTTTTCATTGTATAAAGGTTTTTCTTTTAGATACCATTATGAACTCTATAAAAAACCTCTAATTGTATAATATTCAGTTTATGATCTGGTCATTAATTTCTTATTTTTGTAAGCAAAATATATTTATTTATGATTTTGTTTCCATTCCATAAAATTTCCTATATAAATATCTACGTATCTTCTATTAAATATAAAAATCTTAAAATAATGGCATAATAAAAGCACAACATTTGGCCCATCTTTATCATTTTATGACTTTTTCTCCAATATCCTCACTTAGTCTATTTTTACTACATAATATTTGTTCCACCTTCATTAATACTTTCACAGCCACATAAGGAAACAATAGACCAACACCCACTGTTACGAAAGGAACAAAACAAAAGTAAAAATAAATAAAAACTATAAAAGGAAATGAACTGGAAATTCGCGTAATTGGTGTTGATTTAGTACAGCCGCTTTATTATAGATTTTCAAGAAAATACCCTCCACATTTCTGTGTAAAAATTTTATTTTACAAAATTTTGTCTTTGCGTAGTCCAAAGTACCTTTAGGGAATCAAAAATAACTAAAATTAATAATTAATATTAAATATATGATGGATTTCCCAATATCAGTACAATTAGTAAACGATAAATTCTATATTTGTAGAAATTTTCTAGAAATTTCCTAATTATAGGAAATTTTACCAATGTTCTCGATTCTGTTTATTCGTTTCGCAAAATATTTATGAAAAAATAAAATCTATTTACTATAATTTAAACATTATTATTTATATAACTTATACGTTAAAAATCATTTGACAGTGCAAGAAACGGCAGGAGCATTTATTCCTAGGCCATCGCACTTACTCGGATCACTCGATAAAGTCCAATCTAAAAATAAACATAAAATTTTAACAAGTTCCATATTAAGAGCTATTTTACTAATTTACCTAACATTCCATTATTACATGATACTTTCTTTAATGCACACAAACTAGCAAACTTTCTACATTTTTGCATGTCTTTGCTGGTGCCACAGACAGGAGTGGAATCAATACTCGGACAATCAGCATTCTTATACTTATCACATTCACTATAGCAAACTTTAACTTGTCCAGGTTCGCGTTCGATACAATCATCCGTCGCTGTGCTCTTCTTCCACTCTTTCGAATTGTATATAAATTATATATGTAAAGCATTTGTATGTTACTTAAGATATTTCACAGTTTTACTTACCCATTTTACTACTTTGTATGACACAGTTATTTGTATTGTACACTTCACAGCTTGTGCTAAAAGTACGGCAGAATCCATTATCATTTTTATAACACTGTGGTGGAGGTACGGTACATACAACTCCAGGTGTCGTAGAAGTAGTAAAAGGTGTTGTAGTAGTAATAGTAGTTGGCGTAGTTGTAGATTCTGGTGTTGAATCAGTAGAAGACTCTGGAGTTGAATCAGTTGACGATTCTGGTGTTGAATCAGTAGAAGACTCTGGAGTTGTATCAGTGGATGATTCTGGTGTTGAATCTGTAGAAGTCTCTGGAGTCGAACCTGTAGAAGATCCTGGTGTTGACCCAGTAGATGATTCTGGTGTTGAGTCAGTGGATGATTCTGGTGTTGAATCAGTGGATGATTCTGGCGTTGAATCAGTAGAAGAATCTTGAGTTGTATCAGTAGAAGACTCTGGAGTTGAATCCGTAGAAGAATCTGATGTTGAATCAGTGGATGATTCTGGTGTTGAATCAGAAGAAGACTCTGGTGTTGAATCAGAAGAAGACTCTGGTGTTGAATCAGTGGATGATGCTGGTGTTGAGTCAGTGGACGATTCTGGTGTTGAATCAGTAGAAGACTCTGGTGTTGAATCAGTAGAAGACTCTGGTGTTGAATCAGAAGAAGACTCTGGTGTTGAATCAGTAGAAGACTCTGGTGTTGAATCAGTGGATGATTCTGGTGTTGAGTCAGTGGACGATTCTGGTGTTGAATCAGTAGAAGACTCTGGTGTTGAATCAGTAGAAGACTCTGGTGTTGAATCAGTAGATGATTCTGGTGTTGAGTCAGTGGATGATTCTGGTGTTGAGTCAGTGGATGATTCTGGTGTTGAATCAGTAGAAGACTCTGGAGTTGAATCCGTAGATGAATCTGATGTTGAATCAGTGGATGATTCTGGCGTTGAATCAGTGGAAGACTCCGGTGTTGAATCTGTAGATGATTCTGGTGTTGAATCTGTAGATGATTCTGGTGTTGAATCAGAAGATGACTCTGGAGTTGAATCTGAAGAAGACTCTGGTGTTGAATCAGTAGATGATTCTGGTGTTGAATTAGTGGAAGACTCTGGAGTTGAGTCAGTAGATGATTCTGGTGTCGAATCAGTAGATGATTCTGGTGTTGAATCAGTAGAATTTTCTGGTGTTGAATCAGTGGATGATTCTGGCGTTGGCGATGATTCAGTAGAAGATTCGGGTGTTGAATCAGTAGAAGACTCTGGTGTTGAATCAGTGGATGATTCTGATGTTGAATCAGTAGATGATTCTGGTGTTGAATCAGTGGATAATTCTGGTGTTGAGTCAGTGGATGATTCTGGTGTTGAATCAGTAGAAGACTCTGGTGTCGAATCAGTAAAAGATTCTGGTGTTGAATCGGTGGACGATTCTGGTGTTGAATCAGTAGAAGACTCTGGTGTTGAGTCACTGGATGATTCTGGTGTTGAGTCAGAGGACGATTCTGGTGTTGAATCAGTAGAAGACTCTGGAGTTGAATCAGTAGAAGATTCTGGTGTTGAATCAGTGGAAGACTCTGGAGTTGAATCCGTAGAAGAATCTGATGTTGAATCAGTGGATGATTCTGGTGTTGAATCAGTGGAAGACTCTGGTGTTGAATCTGTAGATGATTCTGGTGTTGAATCTGTAGATGATTCTGGTGTTGAATCAGAAGATGACTCTGGAGTTGAATCTGAAGAAGACTCTGGTGTTGAATCAGTAGATGATTCTGGTGTTGAATCAGTGGAAGACTCTGGAGTTGAGTCAGTAGATGATTCTGGTGTCGAATCAGTAGATGATTCTGGTGTTGAATCAGTGGAAGATTCTGGTGTTGAATCAGTGGATGATTCTGGCGTTGGCGATGATTCAGTAGAAGATTCTGGTGTTGAATCAGTGGATGATTCTGGTGTTGAGTCAGTGGACGTTTCTGGTGTTGAGTCAGTGGATGATTCTGATGTTGAATCAGTGGATGATTCTGTTGTTGAATCAGTGGATGATTCTGGTGTTGAGTCAGTGGATGATTCTGGTGTTGAATCAGTAGAAGACTCTGAAGTTGAATCAGTAGAAGACTCTGGTGTTGAATCAGTAGATGATTCTGGTGTTGAATCAGAATAAGACTCTGGTGTGGAATCAGTAGATGATTCTGGTGTTGAATCAGAAGAAGACTCTGGTGTTGAATCAGTGGATGATTCTGGTGTTGAGTCAGTGGACGATTCTGGTGTTGAATCAGTAGAAGACTCTGGTGTTGAATCAGTCGATGATTCTGGTGTTGAATCAGTGGAAGACTCTGGAGTTGAATCTGAAGAATACTCTGGTGTTGAATCTGTAGATGATTCTGGTGTTGAATCAGAAGATGACTCTGGAGTTGAATCTGAAGAAGACTCTGTTGTTGAATCAGTAGATAATTCTGGTGTTGAATCAGTGGATGACTCCGGTGTTGAGTCAGTAGAAGACTCTGGTGTTGAATCAGTGGATGATTCTGGTGTTGAGTCAGTGGACGACTCTGGAGTTGAATCAGTAGATGATTCTGGTGTCGAGTCTGTAGAAGACTCTGGAGTTGAGTCAGTAGATGATTCTGGTGTTGAATCAGTAGAAGACTCTGGTGTTGAATAAGTAGATGATTCTGGTGTTGAATAAGTAGATGATTCTGGTGTTGAATCAGAAGAAGACTCTGGTGTTGAATCAGTAGAAGATTCTGGAGTTGAATCAGTAGAAGATACGGGTGTTGAATCAGTAGAAGACTCTGGTGTTGAATCAGTGGATGATTCTGGTGTTGAGTCAGTGGACGACTCTGGTGTTGAATCAGTAGAAGACTCTGGAGTTGAATCAGTAGAAGATTCTGGAGTTGAATCAGTAGATGATTCTGGTGTTGAATCAGTGGAAGACTCTGGAGTTGAGTCGGTAGATGATTCTGGTGTTGAGTCAGTGAACGATTCTGGTGTTGAGTCAGTGGATGATTCTGATGTTGAATCAGTAGAAGACTCTGGTGTTGAATCAGTAGATAATTCTGGTGTTGAATCAGTGGAAGACTCTGGAGTTGAGTCGGTAGATGATTCTGGTGTTGAGTCAGTGGACGATTCTGGTGTTGAGTCAGTGGATGATTCTGATGTTGAATCAGTAGAAGACTCTGGCGTTAATTCAGTAGAAGATTCTGGTGTTGAATCAGTAGAAGATTCTGGAGTTGAATCAGATGACGACTCTGGCGTTGAATCAGTGGAAGACTCTTGAGTTGAGTCAGTAGACGATTCTGATGTTGAAGAAGTAGATGATTCTGGAGTTGAATCAGTAGAAGACTCTGGTGTTGAATCAGTGGAAGATTCTGGTGTTGAATCAGTGGATGATTCTGGTGTTGAGTCAGTGGATGATTCTGATGTTGAATCAGTAGAAGACTCTGGTGTTAATTCAGTAGAAGATTCTGGTGTTGAATCAGTAGAAGATTCTGGTGTTGAATCAGTAGAAGACTCTGGAGTTGAATCAGTAGATGATTCTGGTGTCGAGTCTGTAGAAGACTCTGGAGTTGAGTCAGTAGATGATTCTGGTGTTGAGTCAGTGGACGATTCTGGTGTTGAGTCAGTGGATGATTCTGATGTTGAATCAGTAGAAGACTCTGGTGTTGAATCAGTAGATAATTCTGGTGTTGAATCAGTGGAAGACTCTGGAGTTGAGTCAGTAGATGATTCTGGTGTTGAGTCAGTGGACGATTCTGGTGTTGAGTCAGTGGATGATTCTGATGTTGAATCAGTAGAAGACTCTGGCGTTAATTCAGTAGAAGATTCTGGTGTTGAATCAGTAGAAGATTCTGGTGTTGAATCAGTAGAAGACTCTGGAGTTGAATCAGTAGATGATTCTGGTGTCGAGTCTGTAGAAGACTCTGGAGTTGAATCAGTAGAAGACTCTGGTGTTGAATCAGTAGATGATTCTGGTGTTGAATCAGTGGAAGACTCCGGAGTTGAGTCAGTTGAAGTTTCTGATGATGAGTCAGTAGATGATTCTGGTGTTGAATCAGTAGAAGATTCTGGTGTTGAATCAGTGGATGATTCTGGTGTTGAATCTGTGGAAGATTCTGGTGTTGAATCACTGGATGATTCTGGTGTCGAGTCAGTAGATGATTCTGGTGTTGAGTCAGTGGATGATTCTGGTGTTAAATCAGTGGATGTTTCTGTTGTTGAATCAGTAGAAGACTCTGAAGTTGAATCAGTGGATGATTCTGGTGTCGAGTCAGTAGAAGATTCTGGTGTTGAATCAGTGGATGATTCTGGTGTCGAATCAGTGGATGATTCTGGAGTTGAATCAGTGGATGATTCTGGTGTTGTATCTGTGGATGATTCTGACGTTGAATCACTGGATGAATCTGGTGTTGAGTCAGTAGATGATTCTGGTGTTGGGTCAGTGGATGATTCTTGTGTTGAATGAGTGGATGTTTCTGTTGTTGAACCAGTAGAAGACTCTGAAGTTGAATCAGTGGATGATTCTGGTGTCGAGTCAGTGGAAGATTCTGGTGTTGAATCACTGGATGATTCTGGTGTCGAATCAGTGGATGATTCTGGAGTTGAATCAGTAGATGATTCTGGTGTTGATTCAGTAGAAGACTCGGAAGTTGAATCAGTGGAAGATTCTTGTGTTGAATCAGTGGACGAGGTAGATTCTGTAGAAGTTTCGGGTGTTGTATCGGTAAAGGTTTCTGGAGTAGATGACAATGTTGCCTTTGTTGTACTTTCAATTTTTGGATCTTGCGTTGTTATTATTGTTGTGTCTGTTGATGCACTTATAGCGGATTGTATCTTGCCAGCATATAGCACGTATAGCAAAAAGACTTTCAAAATTTCCCGAAATGTTAATATAATTATTTTTATTTATAGTAGTTTATTTATAATTCCACTTACCCAAAGTATTCATGTTGATTTGTTATTTGTAGTTCTAATTAATTTTTTTTTTTAATTTCACTTCACTTTTAGTAAGACCTAGACTTATACACAAATTATAAGAAATGCAGCAATTTAGATATTTCAAATTTAATTTATACCAAATGTGTTAATTCTGTTACTTACCAATTTGTCGATTTTGAAATTTTAATTGTTTGCATAGAATAAATAATGTTTGTTTACGCTTTTGTTTTTTAAGCATTCTATTTTATTGCGAATAAAGTTATTTAGGAGCAAATGTTTTATTATTTAATTTATACAGACATCCCAACTTAAATATGTAAACTAAGAAACATATGTTAATAAATCGTGTATATTATAGGCTTTAGATATGTACGTGAGTTACAGTTAGGGTCAAAATTATTCACAAGATTATCAGCATTATTAGTTTTTCTTTCACTTTAGCCAAAATGATGTCTATTTTTCTTATTTTAAAGAAAGTGGTGTAATCCACATTTAATTGATAGCATATTATTACAAGTAATTTAATTAATTTTTTATACCGTTCACTAAATAAGTAAACTTTTTTGGCAAATCCGAAGATCATTATGGTTCTTCAGAGAGTCTCTTTTGTGAAGACATTTGTTTTTAGAATACATCAAATATATTTATTATGTCCAAATCCTTTCTAGATAGGCCACTACGGTCAATATTGTTTACACATTTGATAACAGTCAAACGTGGACTAAAAAACGCATTTTCTCAATTCCTGTTATTTTTTCTTTAAAGTAAAAAGGTTTGAAAAAAATAAATAAAAACTGAAAAGAATTAAGTTTTTCTTAAATCATAATACTTAGATAAACATTTCTTAAAATCAAATTTGCATGTATTTTTTCAAAATTTCTTAATACAGCAATAGAAATGTATTTCAATATTTAAAAATATATAAAATATTGTGATAGTACTGCCGGCATACGCAATCACTCATATAAATTCATAGATATACAAATATAAATATATGCATAATGGTAAAAGTACCACTTGTTTGGAGCCAAAAAATTCTTGGAGTATTTTTGATAACTTCAATATTTGTTAAATACAAACTTTTAAAGAGTTTTCGGGTATAAATTTATAATCCCTTCAAAATGGTCCTCTCGTACTAAAATATATTTAAATTTGACTCTCGTTTCCGTTAGATTGAATTATATTATCTTTAATTGATGTATAAAATAAGTAATTTTTTAATGTAACATAAGTAGTATGTATTTTACAAACTGTGTTGTAGCTTAAACATTTACAAATCGGTTATTATTAATCACTTAACAGTGCAAGGAACCGCTGGAGCATTAATTCCCAGATTATTACACATTCTGGAATCCTTTGCTATAGTCCAATCTAAAAATAGGGATAAAATATTAACAAAATTTATTGTCACAAATATTGTTATAATTTACCTAGCATCCCATTATTGCACGCTACTTTCTTTAATGCACACAAACTGGCAAACCTTCTACATTTCTGCATTTCTATGCTGGATCCACAAACGGGAGTGGGATCTATACTTCGACAATCAGCATTCATATAAAATCTACAATCACTAGAGCAAACTTTAATTTGACCAGGTTCACGTTCGATACAATCATTAGATGCACGGCTCACCTTCCATTCTTTTCAATAGTATACAAATTATGTACATATATATAGAATTGTGATGTTAATTTTAATATTTCACTTACCCATTTTACTATTTTGTATTACACAGCTATTTGTATTATACGCCTCACAGCTTGTGCTAAAAGTTCGACAGAAGCCATTACCATTTCGATAACACTGTGGTGGAGGTACGTTACATACAACTCCAGGTGTTGTAGAAGTAGTAAAAGGTGTTGTAGTAGGAATGGTAGTTGGCGTTGTAGTGGGCGTAGTAGTAGGCCTAGTAGTAGGAGTAGTAGTAGGTGTGGTAGTAGGCGTAGTAGTTGGCGTGGTAGTAGGTGTAGTAGTAGGTGTGGTAGTACTAGGCGTAGTAGCTGGTGTAGTAGTGGGTGTCGTAGTCGGCATGGTAGTGGTTGTTGTTGTTGGTGTGGTTGTGGATGAAGTAGATGATTCTGTTGTTAAATCAGTTGTAGACTCTGGAGCTGAATCCGTGGACAATTCTGGTGTTGAATCACTAGATGATTCTGGTGTTGAGCCAGTGGATGGTTCTGGTGTTAACTCTGTACAAGTTTCTGGAGTTGAATCAGTTGAAAATTCCGGTGTTGAGTTAGTTGAAGACTCTGGAGTTGGATAAGTCAATGACTCTGATGTTGAATCAGTTGACGATTCTTGTGTTGAACCAGTGGACTCTGATGTTGAGTCAGTTGAAAACTCTGGAGTAGAATTAGTGGAGGACTCTGGTGTTGAGTCAGTGGATGATTCTGGTGTTGATTCAGTGGTCGATTCTGGTGTTGAAACAGGTGATGTGTCAGTTGAAGATTCTGATGTTGAATCAGTAGAAGAATCTGGTGTTGAATCAGTTGAAGATGCTGGTGTTGAATCAGTGGACGATTCTGAAGTTGAATCAGTGGATAATTCTGATGTTGAATCAGTTGACAATTCTGGTGTTGAGTCAGTAGAAGAATATGGAGTAGAATCAGTAGAAGATTCTGTAGTGGAATCACTTGACGATTCTGGTGTTGAGTCTGTTGAAGATACTGGTGTTGAATCAGTGGAGGACTCTGGTGTTGAGTCAGTGGATGATTCTGGTGTTGATTCAGTAGAAGACTCTGGTGTTGAATCAGTGGATGATTCTGGTGTTGAGTCAGTGGACGATTCTGGAGTTGAATCAGTTAAAGATTCTGGTGTTGAATCAGTGGACGATTCTGAAGTTGAATCAGTGGATAATTCTGATGTTGAATCAGATGACAATTCTGGCGTTGAGTCAGTAGAAGAATATGGAGTAGAATCAGTAGAAGATTCTGTATTGGAATCACTTGACGATTCTGGTGTTGAGTCAGTTGAAGATACTGGTGTTGAATCAGTGGAGAACTCTGGTGTTGAATCAGTGGACGATTCTGGAGTTGAATCAGTTGAAGATTCTGGTGTTGAGTCAGTTGAAGATTCTGAAGTTGAATAAGTTGACGATTCTGATGTTGAATCAGTTGAAAACTCTGGAGTAGAATTTGTGGATGAATCTGGTGTTGAGTCAGTGGATGATTCTGGTGTTGATTCAGTGGTCGATTCTGGTGCTGAATCAGTGGATGATTCAGGTGACGTGTCAGTAGAAGATTCTGATGTTGAATCAGTGGATGATTCTGGTGTTGAGTCAGTGGAAGATTCTGGTGTTGAATCAGTAGAAGATTCTAAATTTGAATCACTAGAAGATTCTGATGTTGAATCAGTGGATGATTCTGGTGTTGAATCAGTATAAGACTCTGTAGTTGAATCAGTGGAAGGTTCTGATGTTGAATCAGTTGAAGACACTGGAGTTGAATCAGTCGAAGATTCTGATGAAGTTGAAGACTCTGGAGTTAAATCAGATGACGACTCTGGCGTTGAGTCCGTTGAAGACTCTGGAGTTAATTCAGTGAAAGATTCTGATGTTGATTCAGTTGACGATTCTTGTGTTAAGTCAGTGGATGTTTCTGGTGTTGAATCACTTGACGATTCTGATGTTGAGTCTGTTGAAGTTGCTGTTGTTGAATCAGTGGAAAACTCCGGTGGTGAGTCAGTGGACGATTCTGGAGTTGAATCAGTTGAAGATTCTTGTGTTGATGCAGTTGAAGACTCTGGTGTTGAATCAGTCGATGACTCTGATATTGAATCAGTGGATGATTCTGACGTTGAGTCAGTGGACGATTCTGGAGTTGAATCAGTAGAAGATTTAGGTGTTGAATCAGTGGATGATTCTGGTGTTGAATCAGTAGAAGACTCTGTAGTTGAATCAGTTGAAGACTCTGGAGTTGAATCAGTAGATGAATCTGGAGTTGAGTCAGTAGAAGATTCTGATGTTGAATCAGTAGATGATTCTGAAGTTGGATCAGTAGAAGACTCTGGTGTTGAATCAGTGGAAGATTCTGGTGTTGAATCAGTAGATAATTCTGGTATTGAATCAGTGGAAGACTCTGGAGTTGAGTCAGTAGATGATTCTGGTGTTGAATCAGTAGAAGATTGTGGAGTTGAATCAGTGGAAGATTCGGGTGTTGAATCCGTAGAAGACTCTGGTGTTGAATCAGTGGATGATTCTGGAGTTGAATCAGTAGAAGACTCTGGTGTTGAATCAGTGGACGACTCTGATGTTGAATCAGTGGATTCTGGTGTTGAATCAGTAGATAATTCTGGTGTTGGATCAGTAGAAGACTCTGATGTTGAATCAGTGGATTCTGGTGTTGAATCAGTGGAAGATTCTGGTGTTGAATCAGTGGAAGATTCTGGTGTTGAATCAGTAGATAATTCTGGTATTGAATCAGTGGAAGACTCTGGAGTTGAGTCAGTAGATGATTCTGGTGTTGAATCAGTAGAAGATTGTGGAGTTGAATCAGTGGAAGAATCGGGTTTTGAATCAGTAGAAGACTCTGGAGTTGAATCAGTAGATAAATCTGGAGTTGAGTCAGTAGAAGATTCTGATGTTGAATCAGTAGATGATTCTGAAGTTGGATCAGTAGAAGACTCTGGTGTTGAATCAGTGGAAGATTCTGGTGTTGAATCAGTGGAAGATTCTGGTGTTGAATCAGTAGATAATTCTGGTATTGAATCAGTGGAAGACTCTGGAGTTGAGTCAGTAGATGATTCTGGTGTTGAATCAGTAGAAGATTGTGGAGTTGAATCAGTGGAAGATTCGGGTGTTGAATCAGTAGAAGACTCTGGTGTTGAATCAGTGGATGATTCTGGAGTTGAATCAGTAGAAGACTCTGGTGTTGAATCAGTGGACCACTCTGATGTTGAATCAGTGGATTCTGGTGTTGAATCAGTGGAAGATTCTGGTGTTGAATCAGTAGATAATTCTGGTGTTGAATCAGTGGAAGACTCTGGAGTAGAGTCAGTAGATGATTCTGGTGTTGAATCAGTAGAAGATTGTGGAGTTGAATCAGTGGAAGATTCGGGTGTTTTATCAGTAGAAGACTCTGGTGTTGAATCAGTGGATGATTCTGGTCTTGATTCAGCAGAAGACTCTGGAGTTGAATTAGTAGAAGACTCTGGTGTTGAATCAGTAGATGATTCTGGAGTTGAATCAGTAGAAGGCTCTGGTGTTGAATCAGTGGACGACTCTGATGTTGAATCAGTGGATGATTCTGGTGTTGAATCAGAAGATGACTCTGGTGTTGAATCTGAAGAAGACTTTGGTGTTGAATCAGTAAAAGATTCTGGTGTTGAATCAGTGGATGATACTGGTGTTGAATCAGTAGAAGATTCTGAAGTTGAATCAGTGGATGATTCTGGTGTTGAATCAGTGGATGATTCTGGTGTTGAATCAGTGGATGATTCTGGAGTTGAATCAGTGGAGGATTCTGGCGTTGGCGATGATTCAGTAGAAGACTCGGGTGTTGAATCAGATGACGACTCTGGCGTTGAATCAGTAGCAGAATCTGATGTTGAATCAGTTGACGATTCTGGTGTTGAATCAGTGGACGATTCTGAAGTTGAATCAGTGGACAATTCTGATGTTGAATCAGATGACAATTCTGGTGTTGAGTCAGTAGAAGAATATGGAGTAGAATCAGTAGAAGATTCTGTATTGGAATCACTTGACGATTCTGGTGTTGAATCAGTTGAAGATACTGGTGTTGAATCAGTTGAGAACTCTGGTGTTGAGTCAGTGGACGATTCTGGAGTTGAATCAGTTGAAGATTCTGGTGTTGAGTCAGTTGAAGATTCTGAAGTTGACGATTCTGATGTTGAATCAGTTGAAAACTCTGGAGTAGAATTTGTGGATGAATCTGGTGTTGAGTCAGTGGATGATTCTGGTGTTGATTCAGTGGTCGATTCTGGTGTTGAATCAGTGGATGATTCAGGTGACGTGTCAGTAGAAGATTCTGATGTTGAATCAGTGGATGATTCTGGTGTTGAGTCAGTGGAAGATTCTGGTGTTGAATCAGTAGAAGATTCTAAAGTTGAATCACTAGAAGATTCTGGTGTTGAATCAGTGGACGATTCTGGTGTTGAATCAGGAAAAGACTCTGTAGTTGAATCAGTTGAAGGTTCTGATGTTGAATCTGTTGAAGACTCTGGAGTTGAATCAGTCGAAGATTCCGATGAAGTTGAAGACTCTGGAGTTGAATCAGATGACGACTCTGGCGTTGAGTCCGTTGAAGACTCTGGAGTTAATTCAGTGGATGATTCTGATGTTGATTCAGTTGACGATTCTTGTGTTGAGTCAATGGATGTTTCTGGTGTTGAATCACTTGAGGATTCTGATGTTGAGTCTGTGGAAGTTGCTGTTGTTGAATCAGTGGAAAACTCCGGTGGTGAGTCAGTGGACGATTCTGGAGTTGAATCAGTTGAAGATTCTTGTGTTGATGCAGTTGAAGACTCTGGTGTTGAATCAGTAGAAGATTCTGATGTTGAAGCAGTGGATGATTCTGGTGTTGAATCAGTAGATAATTCTGGTGTTGAATCAGTAGATAATTCTGATGTTGAATCAGTAGAAGATTCTGGAGTTGAATCAGTGGAAGATTCGGGTGTTGAATCAGTAGAAGACTCTGTAGTTGAATCAGTGGATGATTCTGGTGTTGATTCAGTAGAAGACTCTGGAGTTGAATTAGTAGAAGACTCTGTTGTTGAATCAGTAGATGATTCTGTAGTTGAATCAGTAGAAGACTCTGGTGTTGAATCAGTAGAAGATTCTGATGTTGAAGCAGTGGATGATTCTGGTGTTGAATCAGTAGATAATTCTGGTGTTGAATCAGTAGATAATTCTGGTGTTGAATCAGTAGAAGATTCTGGAGTTGAATCAGTGGAAGATTCGGGTGTTGAATCAGTAGGAGACTCTGGTGTTGAATCAGTGGATAATTCTGGTGTTGAGTCAGTGGATGATCCTGGTGTTGATTCAGTAGAAGACTCTGGAGTTGAATTAGTAGAAGACTCTGTTGTTGAATCAGTAGATGATTCTGGAGTTGAGTCAGTAGAAGACTCTGGTGTTGAATCAGTTGATAGTTCTGGTGTTGAATCAGTAGATAAGTCTGGTGTTGAATCAGTGGAAGACTCTGGAGTTGAGTCAGTAGATAATTCTGGTGTTGAATCAGTAGAAGATTCTGGTGTTGAATCAGTAGATAATTCTGGTGTTGAATCAGTAGATATTTCTGGTGTTGAATCAGTGGAAGACTCTGGAGTTGAGTCAGTAGATGATTCTGGTGTTGAATCAGTAGAAGATTCTGGAGTTGAATCAGTAGAAGGCTCTGGTGTTGAATCAGTGGACGACTCTGATGTTGAATCAGTGGATGATTCTGGTGTTGAATCAGAAGATGACTCTGGTGTTGATTCAGTAGAAGACTCTGGAGTTGAATCAGTAGAAGACTCTGGAGTTGAGTCAGTAGATAATTCTGGTGTTGAATCAGTAGAAGATTCTGGTGTTGAATCAGTAGATAATTCTGGTGTTGAATCAGTAGATATTTCTGGTGTTGAATCAGTAGATGATTCTGGTGTTGAATCAGTAGAAGATTCTGGAGTTGAATCAGTAGAAGATTCTGGAGTTGAATCAGTAGAAGGCTCTGGTGTTGAATCAGTGGACGACTCTGATGTTGAATCAGTGGATGATTCTGGTGTTGAATCAGAAGATGACTCTGGTGTTGATTCAGTAGAAGACTCTGGAGTTGAATCAGTAGCAGACTCTGTTGTTGAATCAGTAGATAATTCTGGTGTTGAATCAGTAGATAATTCTGGTGTTGAATCAGTGGAAGACTCTGGAGTTGAGTCAGTAGATGATTCTGGTGTTGAATCAGCAGAAGATTCTGGTGTTGAATCAGTAGATAATTCTGGTGTTGAATCAAAAGATAATTCTGGTGTTGAATCAGTAGATAATTCTGGTGTTGAATCAGTGGAAGACTCTGGAGTTGAGTCAGTAGATGATTCTGGTGTTGAATCAGCAGAAGATTCTGGTGTTGAATCAGTAGATAATTCTGGTGTTGAATCAGTAGATAATTCTGGAGTTGAATCAGTGGAAGACTCTGGAGTTGAGTCAGTTGAAGACTCTGGAGTTGGATCAGTAGAAGACTCTGGTGTTGAATCAGTGGCAGATTCTGGTGTTGAATCAGTGGAAGATTCAGGTGTTGAATCAGTAGATAATTCTGGTGTTGAATCAGTGGAAGACTCTGGAGTTGAGTCAGTAGATAATTCTGGTGTTGAATCAGTAGAAGATTCTGGTGTTGAATCAGTAGATAATTCTGGTGTTGAATCAGTAGATAATTCTGGTGTTGAATCAGTGGAAGACTCTGGAGTTGAGTCAGTAGATGATTCTGGTGTTGAATCAGTAGAAGATTCTGGAGTTGAATCAGTGTAAGATTCGGGTGTTGAATCAGTAGAAGACTCTGGTGTTGAATCAGTGAATGATTCTGGTGTTGAGTCAGTGGATGATTCTGGTGTTGATTCAGTAGAAGACTCTGAAGTTGAATTAGTAGAAGACTCTGTTGTTGAATCAGTAGATGATTCTGGAGTTGAATCAGTAGAAGACTCAGGTGTTGAATCAGTGGACAACTCTAATGTTGAATCAGTAGATGGTTCTGGTGTTGAGTCAGTGGAAGATTCTGGCGTTGAATCAGTAGAAGATTCTGAAGTTGAATCACTAGAAGATTCTGATGTTGAATCAGTTAATGATTCTGGTGTTGAATCAGTAAAAGACTCTGTAGTTGAATCAGTTGAAGGTTCTGATGTTAAATCTGTTGAAGACTCTGGAGTTGAATCAGTCGAAGATTCTGATGAAGTTGAAGACTCTGGAGTTGAATCAGATGACGACTCTGGCGTTGAGTCCGTTGAAGACTCTGGAGTTAATTCAGTGGATGATTCTGATGTTGATTCAGTTGACGATTCTTGTGTTGAGTCAGTGGATGTTTCTGGTGTTGAATCACTTGACGATTCTGATGTTGAGTCTGTTGAAGTTGCTGTTGTTGAATCAGTGGAAAACTCCGGTGGTGAGTCAGTGGACGATTCTGAAGTTGAATCAGTTGAAGACTCTGGTGTTGAATCAGTCGATGACTCTGATATTGAATCAGTGGATGATTCTGACGTTGAATCAGTAGAAGATTCTGATGTTGAAGCAGTGGATGATTCTGGTGTTGAATCAGTAGATAATTCTGGTGTTGAATCAGTAGATAATTCTGGTTTTGAATCTGTGGAAGACTCTGGAGTTGAGTCAGTAGATGATTCTGGTGTTGAATCAGTAGAAGATTCTGGAGTTGAATCAGTGGAAGATTCGGGTGTTGAATCAGTAGAAGACTCTGGTGTTGATTCAGTAGAAGACTCTGGAGTTGAATTAGTAGAAGACTCTGTTGTTAAATTAGTAGATGATTCTGGAGTTGAATCAGTAGAAGACTCTGGTGTTGAATCAGTAGATAGTTCTGGTGTTGAATCAGTAGATAATTCTGGTGTTGAATCAGTGGAAGACTCTGGATTTGAGTCAGTAGATAATTCTGGTGTTGAATCAGTAGCAGATTCTGGTGTTGAATCAGTAGATAATTCTGGTGTTGAATCAGTAGATAATTCTGGTGTTGATTCAGTGGAAGACTCTGAAGTTGAGTCAGTAGATAATTCTGGTGTTGAATCAGTAGAAGATTCTGGAGTTGAATCAGTGGAAGATTCGGGTGTTGAATCAGTAGAAGACTCTGGTGTTAAATCAGTGGATGATTCTGGTGTTGAGTCAGTGGATGATTCTGGTGTTGATTCAGTAAAAGACTCTGGAGTTGAATTAGTAGAAGACTCTGTTGTTGAATCAGTAGATGATTCTGGAGTTGAATCAGTAGAGAAATCTGTTGTTGAATTAGTAGATAATTCTGGTGTTGAATCAGTAGATAATTCTGGTGTTGAGTCAGTGGAAGACTCTGGAGTTGAGTCAGTAGATGATTCTGGTGTTGAATCAGTAGAAGATTCTGGTGTTGAATCAGTAGATAATTCTGGTGTTGAATCAGTAGATAATTCTGGTGTTGAATCAGTGGATAAATCTGGTGTTGAATCAGTGGAAGACTCTGGTGTTGAATCAGTGGCAGATTCTGGTGTTGAATCAGTGGAAGATTCAGGTGTTGAACCAGTAGATAATTCTGGTGTTGAATCAGTGGAAGACTCTGGAGTTGAGTCAGTAGATGATTCTGGTGTTGAATCAGTAGAAGATTCTGGAGTTGAATCAGTGTAAGATTCGGGTGTTGAATCAGTAGAAGACTCTGGTATTGAATCACTGAATGATTCTGGTGTTGAGTCAGTGGATGATTCTGGTGTTGATTCAGTAGAAGACTCTGAAGTTGAATTAGTAGAAGACTCTGTTGTTGAATCAGTAGATGATTCTGGAGTTGAATCAGTAGAAGACTCAGGTGTTGAATCAGTGGACAACTCTGATGTTGAATCAGTGGATGATACTGGTGTTGAATCAGTAGAAGACTCTGAAGTTGAATCAGTGGATGATTCTGGTGTTGAATCAGTGGATGATTCTGGTGTTGAATCAGTGGATGATTCTGGAGTTGAATCAGTGGAGGATTCTGACGTTGGCGATGATTCAGTAGAAGACTCGGGTGTTGAATCAGTAGAAGACTCTGGAGTTGAATCAGTGGAAGATTCTGGTGTTGAATCAGTAGAATACTCTGCCGTTGAATCAGTCGATGACTCTGATATTGAATCAGTGGATGATTCTGACGTTGAGTCAGTTGAGGACTTTGGAGTTGAATCAGTAGAGGATTCTGATGTTGAATCAGTGGAATATTCTGGTGTTGAGCCTGTTGAACTTTCTGAAGTTGAATCAGTTGACGATACTGATGTTGAATCAGTTGACGATTCTTGTGTTGAGTAAGTGGACGACACTTGTGTTGAGTCAGTTGAGTACTCTGGAGTTGAATCAGTGGATGATTCTGGTGTTGAATCAGTGGACGATTCTGGAGTTGAATCAGTGGAAGTTTCTGGTGTTGACTCAGTTGAAAAATCTGGAGTTGAATCAGTTGACGATTCTGGTGTTGAGTCAGTGGACGACACTGGTGTAGAGTCCGTTGAAGACTGTGGATTTGAATCAGTTGACGATTCTGATGTTGAATCAGTGGACGATTCTGATATTGCATCAGTAGATGATTCTAATGTAGAGTCAGTGGACGATTCTGTAGTTGAATCAAATGAAGATTCTGGTGTTGATTCAGGCTCTGGAGTTGAATCAGATGACGACTCTGGAGTTGAATCAGATGACGATTCTTGAGTTGAGTCAGTGGACGTCTCTGGTGTTGAGTCAGTTGAGGACTCTGGAGTTGAATCAGTAGAGGATTCTGATGTTGAATAAGTAGACGATTCTGATGTTGAATCAGTGGATGATTCTGGTATTGAGTCAGTTGAGGACTCTGAAGTTGAATCAGTTGACGATTCTTGTGTTGTGTCAGTGGACGACACTGGTGTTGAGTCAGTTGAGGACTCTGGAGTTGAATCAGTGGATGATTCTTGTGTTGAATCAGTGGACGATTCTGGAGTTGAATCAGTTGACGATTCTGGTGTTGAGTCAGTTGAAGATTGTGGAGTTGAATCAGTTGACGATTCTGATGTTGAATCAGTGGACGACACTGGAGTTGAATCAGTGGATAATTCTGGTGTTGAATCAGTGGACGATTCTGGATTTGAATTAGTGGAAGATTCTGGTGTTAAGTCAGTTGAAGAATCTGGAGTTGAATCAGTAGATGATTCTGGCGTTGAGTCAGTGGACGAATCTGGTGTTGAGTCCGTTGATGACTCTAGAGTTGAATCAGTGGTTGATTCTGGCGTTGAATCAGTGGATGATTCTAGTGTTGAATCAGTGGACGATTCTGATGTTGAATCAGTGGATGATTCTGATTTTGAGTCGGTTGAAGACTGTGGAGTTGAATCAGTTGACGATTCTGATGTTGAATCAGTGGACGACACTGGTGTTGAGTCAGCTGAGAATTCTGGAGTTGAATCAGTGGATGATTCTGGAGTTGAATCAGTGGATGATTCTGGTGTTGAATCAGTGGACGATTCTGGAATTGAATCAGTGAATGATTCTGATGTAGAGTCAGTGGACGATTCTGTAATTGAATCAGTTGAAGATTCTGGTGTTGATTCAGTTGAAGACTCTGGAGTTGAATCAGTCGACGACTCTGGCGTTGAGTCCGTTGAAGTCTGTGGAGTTGAATCAGTTGACGATTCTTGTGCTAAGTCAGTGGACGATTCTATAGTTGAATCAGTTGGCGATTCTTGTGTTGAGCTAGTGGACGGCTCTAGCGTTGAGTCAGTTGAAGATTCGGATGTTGATTCAGTTGACGATTCTTGTGTTGAGCCAGTAGAGGAGTCTGGTGTAGAATCAGTAGAAGTTTCCGGAGTTGAATCACTTGACGTTTCTGGTGTTGAATCAGTTGAAGATGCTGGTGCTGAATCAGTAGATGACTCTGGTATTGAGTCAGTGGATGATTCTGGTGTTGAGTTAGTATACGATTCTGACGTTGAATCAGTTGACGATTTTGGTGTTGAACCAGTAGAAGAATCTGGATTATACTCAGTAGAAGATTCTGGAGTTGAATCACTTGAAAGTTCTGGTGTGGAATCAGTGGATGATTCTGGTGTGGAATCAGTGGATGATTCTGGTTTTGAGTCAGTGGACGACCATGGTGTTGAGTCAGTTGAAGGCTGTGGAGGTGAGTTAGTAGCTGATTCTGGTGTTGAGTCAGTGGACTCTGGAGATGAATCAGTTAATGATTCTGGAGTTGAGTTAGTTGAAAAGTCAGGTGTTGAGTCTGTATATGACTCTGGTGTTAAATTGGTGGACGAGTCTGATGTTGATTCAGTTGGAGACTCTGGAGTTGAATCAGTGGGCGATTCTGCCGTTGAATCAGTAGAAGACTTCGGATTTGAATCAGTAGATGCCTGTGGTGTTGAATTAGTAAATGTTTCAGGGATATATGGCAATGTTTTGCTTGTTGTGCTTTCATTTTTTTGTTCGGGTGATGTTGATATTGTTGTGTCTAATAAAGTCTCGGTTGATGTGCTTATGGCAAATTGTATTCTACCAACATAAAGCACGTATGCCAAAAACACTTTGAAAAAAATTACGAAATGTAAATGTAGTTATGTTTGTGTGCAATTTTACTTACCCAATATGTTCATTTTGAATTACTGCCGGTAACTACTTTATCTTTTATATTTTTCACTTCGTTTTTAATAAGACCAAGCTACATACACATATTATAAGAAATGCTGCAGTTTAGATATTTCAATTTTAATTTATAGCAACACAGAAAAAATTAATTTTAAAAAATTTTCAATTAAACGATTAATCAATAATTTTAAAAGGGTTCAATTCATTTTGTATTTGATTCATAAAAATGTATAATCAAATACGTATTTAACAACAACAAAAATAGAAAAAAATAAAAATTTTGTGTACGAAATCAATTATAAGTAGTAATTGAATATACAATTTTTGTTATAGGTTGAACTTCAAAAAATAAAATAATTGAAAACAAGGTTTTGGTAATTGAAATCGTTTTTCAGTTTTTTCTGTGAATTGTTTAAACATTGTTTATTTTCAAAATTTTATTTGTTTATTTAAAATAAATAGAATGAGTTTAGACTTTTGTTTTTAAGCATTATATATTATTGCGAATAAAATTATTGAAAAACAAATGTTTTATTATTTGTTTATACAGGCATCCCTACACTAGTATGTTAAATGATTAACATATGTATGTTGTATTTATATCAATAAGTTATATAAATCTAACTTTAAATTCAAGAATTATAGTTATTTGTAAAGAAATAAAAAATAAGCTTTTGGATATATTTTACGTTATTTTTTAATCTAAACATTTGATTGTTTTGTTTGATGAAATATTAATATATGATATTGCAAAATTTTCACTTAATAAGTATATTAGAATGGTCTCTCAATTTGTTTGGAGGCAACAAAATTTTAAAATCTCATAATAAATATGTTTGATGTCATCCTATTAAACAAAACTCAGTTTATATATTATCACTCAACATCTAAACGGTGACGTTGATGATGGCAAATACCAGTGGGACATACATATAAAAACAAAAATTATATGTACAAATGTGGGCAAACATTGTTGAAATGTGACAAAATTGTATGTAATTCATTTTGTTAGTTCACATGTACAAACATCATATTCATTTGTATGTACAGGGGTAATATTATTTAACCAAAAAAAAAGAAAAGAGGGAAATAAACATTAACAAACGTACACACGCTTTGATCTAAATAACGTTTCCTATGCATTTACATAAATATTCAGAAATTCATTTACTTCATGAATGACATAAAAATTGTCCTGAAAGCTAAATATGTTGGTGTTGATGTTATAAACATTATCTAAATTACACTGTCAAAAAAAAGAAACTAACTTCAACTGTTTATTCAACTTTTTAATATCTTTATACCGATTCTATACATTATTTTATAGAATTTATTGATATTACTTACTTAGTAAAATATTCTTGTAATAAAATCTTACATTTTTGGTAATATTTCATAATTACTTGGTAATGAAGTATTTCATTTAGCTAAATAGGTAATTACTGGAAAAGAGCTAAGTAATTTGGATTTGTTAATGCGTCAAAATTTTAGATGCGAAGTTAGTAAAGGTTTGATATTCTAAACCAGCTATGTATATATTTTAACTTCGGAAGGTTGTTTTATATAGAGTAATGGTTGTATGCACTAGACAAATTAAACCTGTACTTTAATCTAAAGTTTAGCATGAAGAGGTAGAAATACAGACAGACAGACAGACGGACAGAGAGACAGACAGACAGACGGTCGGACGGACAGACAGACAGACAGACTTTATTAAATTAAATCTGAAAATCGATTAGTCACTAAAAAACAACTAACATTTCCCTCTGTGTACAAAAAAAAACATAAAATGAATTCAGACAGACGGACAGAGAGACAGACAGACAGACAGACAGACAGACAGTCAGACAGACGGACAGACAGACAGGCTGACTTTATTAAGTTAAATCTGAAAATCGATTAGTCACTAAAAACAACTAACATTTCCCTCTGTGTACAATTTAATATGTAGTAGTCCTTAAAAACATAAAATGTGTTCAGAATTCAGTTAATTTCATGTGTCGTTTGCTGTCATTAAGCATTTTCAACAACTATAATGTACATGGTTGGTTTACATTCTTGTCTATGTCTTTGGGTAAAAATCTGATTAAATTTTACATAAATTTAGATTTAATTTTTACTAAAATAATATTAAACGCAAGCAGCGATAGTTGTGTAAAGAAAAATCTTATAGAGTTTTCTGTGTTTGAGACATAAAATATACAAAAACAAGCAAAAATAAATATTTAATTTGTTAAATGTGTGAAATTATATTTAATATATGTATGAAAGTATTTTACACTGACACACAGGTTACATATAAACGTTAAAACGTAAATATTTCATTTCCCAACATCAACAGAAAAAAAAGCCAAATAACACAAAAAGAGATATCTTTAAACAGTATACTTTTTTTTGGCAATATGCACACTCATACGTACAATGTTTTGCGTGTAACACATCCGTTTCCGTTAAAATTCACGCATACAAACGTGATTTAACATTTACAACGAATATTCTACAGTTGCTATGCTGGCAGTGGTAGGTAGCAATACTACCACACATTTTATTGCTGTTATTTTTTCTTTCCCCTGACATTTTTGTTAAATACTTTTGCTTGTTGTAGTTTCCTACGGAAAAATTAACTATCAAAGAATGTTCGAAAAATTCCTCCCCTCTCTTATATTTTGTGCATGAACACTTTTAAGTAATATCAGTTATTATAGACATGTGTTTGTATGTTTGCCAAAAAAAATGCTCATACATATTTTCTTACTACGTACTATACCACATCGCATTATTACATCATCTATAAGAGTTTTTTTTTGCTTCACATTTTTTTATCATTGTAATATCATGTATGGATGGTTACATACCTGTGTTAATTTACCATTAACGATGCTCAACGATTCCAAAGATGCACGTACATTTTTGAGACTATTTTCTTTTAATGTTTCCAAATGTGAATGGGAAAATTGTAGATGTCTTATATTGACACCCGGTTGAAAGACATCCTGTGATAGGGACGTGACCGAACGATCAAAATCATAAATGGATAATGAATGTATGGGTGATGAAATGCGCTCCAGTGTGGTACGTAATGATGTTGCCGTTGTACCAGGACATTCAAGAAATAAACCTGTTAACGAAAAGTTGTAAGAGAAATGGAAAATTATATTTAATAATATTTACGACTAGATATTAAATATTAGTAATATACATCTATGTATGTATAATCGATATTTAAGTTAAAAATGATATTATGTTGAAAAAAGTCAACTTTACTTTTCTTCTTAAGGGTAGAAATTAAACTTAAGTTTTTTTTAATATGTATTAAATTTTAAAATTTAAGCAGATTTGTTACCTTTAGTGTGAACTATAACTGATTGTTTTCTGATAAAATTTTGGATAAAATATTCTGAGTTTGGTTCGACATTTTCTAAAAATTTTCTAATTTTGAACTGATTATGGAAAAAATAATTTTAATATTTATTAGAGTATTTTTGCTCCACAAAATGGTTTTTAGAGAGTTTCAGATTCGAATTTATATTAAGATTATTGATTTCTTCGAATATTATTAATTGAATATTCTATATGTATATGCTCCTTAAATGCACTAGAAGGGGACCAGAAATACTCTAACAAAAATTTTATAAATTATTTTCCCTATAAACTCGAAATTACAGAATTTTTGAGATCCATTTCCAAAAGATAGCTGAAACTTTTTTTGAACATATTGTACTAAGATTTTGAATCGCTGGGAGGGAACTGAGACCCTTTTCAAAAAAATATATATTTTATTGTTCTTTCCTTAATGCTTATTGTTTGAGAGATATTCCTACCAAAAACTGGTCCACCGTATCCAATGTATATAGCAGGTTTGGGGGGTAATGACTACATGTTCAATTACAATTTCATTTGAAGTAATTGTACTTGAAGCTTTACCAATTACAATTACTTGTAATTGAAGTTTTGACAATTACAATTACTTGTAATTGTAACTGAAGAATTTCCAATTACAATTACTTGTAATTGTGAATTTTGTTTCTTATAATTATATGTAATTTGTAATTAGTAATACCTTAATGACAACTACAAGTAATATTAATTGGAAACTTCAATTACAATTACAAATAATTGTAATTGGCAAAACTTGAATTACAATTACAAGTAATTGTAATTGGTTATTGGTCAATTATACATTACAAGTAATTGTAACTGGAAAAATTTCAATTACAATTACAAAGTATTTGTAATTGATTATTATTTAATTACACATTACAAGTAATTGTAATTGATCATACAATGAATTACTTTGTGTAATCACTATCCCCCATGCCTGATACACACATACATTAAATCCGAAGTAATACACCTGTTCGCTCCCTTACCAGTGCAATTCTAATCTAATTTTCATATAAAGGTTTAACCTCAATAATTATCTAAATCCTTATTCGAGATATTTTAATATAAAGCTTGAGACTTTAAAAAAATTTTAAAAATTTTAAATTTTGGTGAAAAAAATATTTTTTTTTTAATTTTTTTGATAACTTTATAGAAATTTTTGTGAAAATTTTAATGTGTATTGAAATTGAATGAAAAATGTTACTCACACACGAAATTGTAGTATAAATTCAAAAAGTATATCATAATTGAAAATTTTATTAAAAATTCAAAATTCTGGTCGAAGTTCAAAATTTATATCAAAATTTCGAAATTTTATTAAAAAATTAATATATTAAAAAAAATTCAAATACTTAATTGAAATTTTATTAAAAATTTGAAATTTTATTAAAAATTTGAAATTTAATTAAAAATTTGAAATTTAATTAAAAATTTTAAATTTCATTAAAAATTTGAAATTTTATTATTTTTTATTTTTTTTTTAAATTTGATTAAATATTTGAAATTTTCTTAAATATTTGAAATTTTATTAAATATTTGAAATTTTATTAAAAATTTCAAATTTTTGTGCAAATTTTAATTTATATTGAAATTAAATTTAAAATATTAATCAAAATACGAATTTTTAGTAAAAATATAAAATTTGTATTAAAAAGCAAAATGTTGGTTAAAACTCAAAATTTTAGTCAAAATTTTAAATTTATACCAAAATTATAAATTTAAAAAAAAAAAAATAAAAAAATTTTGTTCGAAATTCAAAGTTCTGGTCAAAATTTAAAATTTATATTAAAATTCGAAATTTTGTTAAAAATAAAAATTTTTATGCGATTTCCAAATTTTGAGTGAAAAAAGAAATTAAATAATAAATCTCTTAAATTTTTGAAATTATAGGATTTAAGCTAAAAATAAAAATTGATTTTATGGCATTTTATAAAACTCTTAAGAATGGAAAACTTTTTTAAATAATATTGTTTAGAAGAGAAGCGAATAATTAGCTTTAGTATAAATATATAAAATATATATTCTTGAATTTCTTGGTAGGAGAGAAGAAGAAGAAGTTATATTTAGCCTAAGATCATTTATTTTATTGTATTCAAACAGGAAGTCTTAAAAAGAATAGTTGGAAGATTTAAAAAATTACGTCAAATTCAGACTATATAGAAAAACTGAATTGACCTTTAATAAACTGTAAATAAAAAGTTTAACAAAATTTCATCATAGATATGATTCAAGGCCCAATCATTGAACCACAAAATAAGGAAAACATTTAACAGTTGTTTTATTAAGGCAGATGAGTTAATTTCTAAATAAATTCGTCATAAGAATTTATTGAAAAGATTGTATTTTATATATTACTCAACATTATAAGGTTAAATCTCGATAATCTAAAGAAATTTGTATAATGAACCCATTGAAAGTTTTAAAGGATTTAAGAAATTGTTTAATTAGAAGTGTTTTTTATATAAATTCATAAAAAATTTTTTCCAAATTTAATATTAACAACTTCTGTATTTGTTTAACTGCAAATGTTTTTGAAAGCATTTGTAATCATTTTTATTAATGCATATAACAAATATTTACCTAATTGTTTGTTATATTAATTAAATTCGTACGTATGGATTTATTGACGTCTAGATCTTCAAACCAATTATGTGACGTAATTGCTTTTAATAACTGAAAACAGAAGTTATAAATAAATGCAATAATTTTTTACATTTTTTGAAGATGATTGTCAATATACCTTGTGATTTTTCATATTTGAAATTTCAGTTTTTTTTATTAATTTTTTTCAGAATTATAAATAATACATTTTTTAAACTTAAATGTATTGAAATAAAGCTTTTAACGGAATCTGTGGAAATGTGTTAGGTTAAGATTTAGTTCCGTTGAGTATGAGGGATATCTGTTAACATGACCCTGACCAAGAAGAGGGAAAATTAAATTTTTTTTAGATATTGTTTAAAGGTCACTGAACTTAACAAAATTTATATGTTTCCAAATGTTAAAATATTGGTTTAAAAAATATTTTAAATTAATTTTTATTTTTCGTTAAATAAATAAAAAAAATATTTTAAAATTGTTTTGCTTGTCGTCACTATTATAGCGATTAACTAAAATATCAGTTTTACTCTGGTAACTATTGGGCTAAAATTATCTCTTCAGAGAACTATTTGTTCCTAAACCCAAGTAAAAAATATTGTGACGAGTTCCGTGACCTTTGTTCTTAAAAATATTTGTGTAAAATGTAACTAGTGTAGAGTATCTAAAATTCTACTTAAAAATTAATCCTTATACTTCTATTTGCTTTAAATTAATATCTGCTAATTTCGTTTTTATTTAAAAATTATGATATTTGTATACTTTACCTACGTATGTGAATCAAAAAAAACATTTCTTATTTGCATTATGCTCAACAAACACAACTTTTTTTCTTCTTCAAATAAACCAATATAAATAAAATATAATTTTGGCTTATAAATACTAGCTTTAGATGATGAAACATGTTTAGTCTTTAAATTTAAAATTTTTAAGTAACATCATCATACGAACTTATTTAGTGAACGAAATTTTTAACTAATTAATTAAAATGAAATATATTTTCGGTAAATATTCCTCAGCATTACTCTTTTAACCAATTGAAACATAATAGTTTTATTTCCCTATCAAGTCTCACTTACGGCTAGTCTTGCCATTATGGTCTTAACCCATGCTAGACCTCTACCACAGTCTAGTACAGAAAACGCACCCTGTCAGATGCCAACGGTTTGTGGTCAAAGAGCCGATGGTTCTTGTCAACTGTTTTTCAATAAGTGCCAACTTGATAATACAAATTGTAGGCTAAATTATAACAGTAAAACCAGTAAGTATATTTGGAATTTCTTCTTTGTTTTCTATTAAAAAAAAAACTACTTTTTTGGTAATTTATTTATTTAAGTGTGGACCCAGGTTGATAAATCGAAATGTAGTAAACTAACTAGTACCGGATCTCCAGGACCTTGTAGTTAGGTTGGTTCATTTAGAATAACATTACAGTTTACGAAATAAAATTTAACTAATTTATACATTAAGATGGTTTTAAAGTAATAAAAAACAAGTAAGAAAGTATAGTCGGGCGTGGCCGACCATATGATACCCTACACCAGTTATGAATATTAAATGTGATTTATTTTTCATAATAAAACATTTATCTTCAATATTCCCTTGTTCCGATACATTTAAGCAATTTATGGATGAAAAACTAATTTTCTGAAAGAGGCTTTATATGGGGGCTAGGGGCAAATATGGACCAAGCCCGATAAAATTTTGTGAATATATTTATATTTACATAATATTTTATTGTGCTGAATTTCATCGCGATATTTGTGTTTATAAGTTAATTTGGGACATTCAAGTCATTTTCTGAAGGGGACTCTGTATGTATAATGGGGCCCGATCTTTATGAAATTTGGCAGGGTTATCAAGACTTCTATAAAACTTAGTTGTGCCGTATTTTATCGATATATCTGTATATTTAACATAATTATCAGCTCAGAAGCCCTTTTCGGGGGGTTCTGTTCTATGGGGGCTAGGTGAAATAATGGACCGATTTTAACCATTTTCAATAGGCCTCGTCCTTGGGTCAAATAAAACGTGTGTGCCAAATTTCATCCAATTATCTTGAAAATTGGATGTACCTTGTACCTTGCGCACAAGGTTTACATGGACAGCCAGCCAGACGGACGGACATAGATTAATGGACTCAGAAAACGATTCTAAGCCGATTGGTATACTTTAAGGTGGGTCTAGGACGAATATTTTTGTATGTTACAAACATCAGCACAAATCCAATATACCCTCCCCACTAAAGTGGTGTAGGGTATAAATATAAGTGACATTGTGGTAAGCCTTTTAATTTTCTATAAAAAAAAAATTATAAAACTTCTAGAAAAATTTAGAACCCTCTTAATAGGAAAAATGTTAATATTTGGACAAATGTGTTGCTTTTATTTGATAAGAAATATTTTTAAAACTTTTTCTTGCCAAATAATTCAAAGAGACACATGTACCGAGTCTCACATGATGCGCATTTAAGTACTGAAGAAAAAATAAAAATTTTTAAACGGTTCTCAGTTTCTTAACAGCGATCATGATCTCAGTGCAAACTGTCAAAATAAAGTTTCTTGATTTTTTTCGAAAAAGGTCTCATAAATTCCCAATTTTGTGACCCCAGTTCCAACCAGCGTTTAAAAATCCTGAAAAAAGGTTTTTTGTTTTTTTTTTTGAAATGGGTTTCAAAAATTTCCTAATTTTGGGAAAAAGGAAAAAATAATTATAAAATGTTTATGGTTACTTTTGCTCAGAAAAAACTTTTAGAGCATTACGAACGACTTATGGATTTTGACCATAGAGTAAGTCAGCTAGTTTATAAACTAATAAGGAGACCAGTCAATAGCATAGTTCATAGAGTAGGGATTAAAATAGTCATAGACTGTTCCCTACGCTATCCAATAGATAACTCCATAGGCTAGTCAATGAACGAAGCGTAGACTAGTTAATAGGTGAGTCAATAGATTAAATAGTAAATAAGATTAGTCCATAAAATAGTCCACTGCCTAATCCTAGACACTAGTAAATAGTCCAAGACTAGTCAATGGAATAGCAAATGTCAAAATTCAAGTCAAAAATGTATTCAAGAGGCTCTTAAATTTAAATGGGAATAGAATATGGATTCGTATAACATACAATAAAAAAATAGTTCCAATTTCCTTAGAGCAAGACTAGGGAGCTAAACCTGTGTCACTTGAGTACCTTCTACTGTTTATTTGCGCATTTTTTTATACCCACCATCAAAATTTTGTCATTCCGTTTGTAACACATCGAAATATTGGTCATAGATCCATAAAAGTATATATATTCTGGGTTCTTATTAAATTCTAAGACGATCTAGCCATGTCCGTCTGTCTGTCAGTTGAAAGCACGATAGAGTCTGAACGGAATGAACTAGAGAGTTGAAATTTTCCACAAATATTCTCTATATATAAGGTTTGTTTGGTATTGAGCAATGGGCAATATCGGTCCACATTTTCAGATAGCCTCCATACAAGTAGATCCCCGAAAAACAGCATATCTCTTTTAAAAGTACGAGTATAGCGATGAAAATTTTATATGGATCGGTCCATAATTGACCCTACCCCCCCATATAAGGTCCCCTTCAAAACATGACTTTAACGCTCATTACTGGCTTACAAATACGAGTGTAGCGATGAAATTCGACACACATAAGTTCCATGCGAGCCAAAATATCTCTATAAAATTTTATGTGGATCGGTCCAAAAATGTCCCTACCGCCATATAAGGTCCCCTTTAAAAAATTACTTTAACGCTCATTACTGGCTTAAAAGTACAAGTATAGTAATGAAATTTGACATAAGTAAGTCCCTGATGAGCCAAAACCTCACCACTAAATTTTATGTGGATCGGTCCAAAATTGACACTACCGCCATATAAGGTCCCATTCAAAAAATAACTTTAACGCTCATGACTGGCTTAAAAATAGGAGTAAAGAAATGAAATTCGACACACATAAGTGCCATGCGAGCCAAAATATCTCTATCAAATTTCATGTGGATCGGTCCATAATTGACCCTACCCCCCATTTAAGGTCCCCTTCAAAATATGACTTCAATGCATATTACTGGCTTAAAATACGAGTATAGTAATGAAATTTGACATAAGTAAGTCCCTGACGAGTCAGAAAATCTCTATCGAATTTTATGTAGATCGGTCCATAATTGACTCTACCCCTATATAAGACCCAATTCAAAAAATACCTTTAACGCTCATGACTGGCTTAAAAATTCGAATAAAGCAATGAAATTTGACATAAGTAAGTCTCTTACGATCAAAATCCCCAGATAATTACTTTAACTCTCATTACTGGCTTAAAAGTACGAGTGTATAGATGAAATTTGACATAAGTAAGACATAAGTAAGCCAAAACTTGATGAGTAATATCACCCTGATGTTTATAGGTGAGTATTCCTTTTACGGCATACGGTTTGATGGTGGGTATAGTATATTCGGCATAGCCGAATAAGCACTCTTACTTGTTAATTCTCTAATGGACATGTACTCTTTTAAAAATGTAATTGTTTATATTACAAACACTAAAAATCTACAAACTCTTCCTAAATGTTGACGACTCTCTAATTTTCTTCCTTTTCTCATAATGATTTTTTTGCAATAGTCAGTTGCTGTTCCCAGCCAGTACTTACCATCTTCGAATTTGTAACAGGGACACGCTGAACTTTCATCAAAACTTGGACATTCAATGTTATTACTTAGACCAGTGTCTAGATTTTGATTGAAAATATTTGTTAAACCAGACGAACCACCTGGTGAGGGACTGAATAGAGATGAAGTACCACCACTTCCTCTTCCTACACCACCACTGTTACCACTTCCATCCAAGGAGCGTATTAAACGTGTAACAATATGATTTTCAAGTGAACTTAGCCTACTACTGCTGCTGATGCTTGATCTAATGTCTCTAAGTGAATTTTCAAAAGTTGTTGCTAATGGTGAAAAGGATGTTAAATCATCATCAACATTATCAATGTTGTCAGCAAACTTGTTTTTGTTGCTGTTACTATAGCTGTTGTCAACATCATCTTTGCTTACATTGTCACTTGACGAGTCTGTAGAGGAGGAGGAGGAGGATGAAAACAACATGAGTTGTTCTTGTGTTGTTGCATTTGTTATTGTTATTGTGGGTGTTGCATAGGTCGTTGACATGTGTGATGTTGTTGCTGCTATGGATAAATGTGGCAAAGAGAATATTGTGATGATTGCCACAAAACATGTTAGCAATAACAAGAATTGTTTTATTTTTTGCTGCTGCTGTAAATGTTTGTTGCTACATGGTCGTTGAGGCCTGCTATAATGTTGCTGTTGTTCTTTTTGTTGTTGCTGATGATGTTGTAAAACATTTGTGCAATTTTGGTGATTTAATGAAAGCATGTGGTAGATTTTATTCTTGTCGTTGTGTTGAATCATGTGACAACTGACGTTTTTGTTTGTTGCCTGGTTATTTTTGCTATTCGTCCAACTACTATATTTGCTATTGTTGTTGTAGTAGTTGCTGTTGCTACTATTGCTTCTACTGTTGCTATGTTTGACATTCGTTGCTATAGCTGCTGCTAAAGTTGTTAAAAAGTACGCTGGTGTTAAATTTGTTAAAATTTCTTTAGCTCTTAAAGTTGCTGCTGTCGATGCTGCTTTAACTTTAGTTTTTCTTGTTGTTGTTGTTGCTAATAATGACGATGAGGCTGATAACGATGTTGTTAAAGTGGTATCCTTGGTTATTAACGTTTTTAAAGAAGTTCTAGTTGTTAAACCCAAAAGTGCTGAATGTGTTAGAGTTGTTGTTGTCGATTCCGGTGCTGGTGATATTGTTGATGTTGCCGTTGCTGTTTGTCGTGCTGGTGGCAGTGCTAATATTGTTGCTGCTTTTGTGGCTGCTCTTGTAAGTTGTGTTGTTTCTGTTGTAAAAAATTTAGTTATTAGTCTTGCCTTTGATGATGTGGCTGCTGCTTCTGATGTTTCTTTTGTTGGCGTATGTATCATGTTGCTGGCATTTTCTAACATTTTTCTAAGAAATTTCTTACAAAATAGAAAAAAAAAACAAGCCACTTGTGTGTGATGTACGAGTTATTTATTTTTGCGAGGGAGAATTTATTTCTTTTCAAAGCCTTTTATATTTCCTTTAACTCTTATTACGGTATCAGTCACTCAGTCAGTCACTCATTCAATGAGTCTTTCTTTTTGACTAACTGTTGTTGGTTTCAATTCAATTTGCATAATTAATCACTTGTATATTATACACAAGTAGAATGTATAAAATCTTCACGTTTTCAACTTCTACTTAAACTACAATTCGTAGTGCGGCTTTTTGTGAGTGCTGGTGTGCTGTGTGTGCGGGTTTGTGGCAAGTATTCGCTATGTGGCAAGTAGTTTTAAAGTGTTTTCCTTAAGCAGTTTCTTTGCCAACTTTGTATTATTTTTCCTGCCTGTATTGTATGAAAGAGGAAGCCATAGAAGACGTTGCTTGGATGCTGCTGTTGTTGTCGAAGAAGTTTTCTTTAGTATTCTCTTTAGATTTGTGCTTATTTTACGTGTATAATTAAAGCTTAAAATAAAGTATTATATTGCATTTTCATTTTGTAGCACCGCTAACATTATGTTGAGCAATTGAAACATTTGATTGACTGCTGCTGGCTGCCTTTTTTCGTTCGTAGTATTGTGAGTTTTTCTTTTACATTTTCATTTCAAATGTATCTATAAGTATATCTGTAAATAAACAGAAAATTCATTTAAGATAAGTATTTAATTAATGAAATTTTATTGCATATTTAAATAAATAACTTATTTTGCAGTAAAAGAGTATAATACAATATAATTAATCATGTTAACTCTTACAAGAGGTTGAAATTATAAAGAATTAGACAATTGATCATACGCTAGACTAGACTGTAGACTTGACTATAGACTAGACTATATACTAGACTATAGACTAGACTATATACTAGACTATAGACTGGACTATACTAGACTATAGAATAGACTATAGACTAGACTATAGACTAGACTATAGACCTATAGACTAGACTATAACTAGACTATAGACTAGACTATAAACTAGACTATAGACTAGACTATAGACTATACTATAGACCAGGACTATAGACTAGACTATAGACTAGACTATAGACTAGACTATAGACTAGACTATAGATTAGACTATAGACTAGACGATAGACTAGGACTATAGACTAGACTATAGGACTAGACTATAGACTAGACTATAGACTAGACTATAGACTAGACTATAGACTAGACTATAGACTAGACTATAGACTAGACTATAGACTAGACTATAGACTAGACTATAGACTAGACTATAGACTAGACTATAGACTAGACTATAGACTAGACTATAGACTAGACTATAGACTAGACTATAGACTAGCTATAGACTAGACTATAGACTAGACTATAGACTAGACTATAGACTAGACTATAGACTAGACTATAGACTAGACTATAGACTAGACTATAGACTAGACTATAGACTAGACTATAGACTAGACTATAGACTAGACTATAGACTAGACTATAGACTAGACTATAGACTAGACTATAGACTAGACTATAGACTAGACTATAGACTAGACTATAGACTAGACTATAGACTAGACTATAGACTAGACTATAGACTAGACTATAGACTAGACTATAGACTAGACTATAGACTAGACTATAGACTAGACTATAGACTAGACTATAGACTAGACTATAGACTAGACTATAGACTAGACTATAGACTAGTCTGTAGACTAGACTATAGACTAGACTATAGACTAGACTATAGACTAGACTATAGACTAGACTATAGACTATACTATAGACTAGACTATAGACTCGACTATAGACTAGACTATAGACTAGACTATAGACTAGACTATAGACTAGACTATAGACTAGTCTGTAGACTAGACTATAGACTAGACTATAGACTAGACTATAGACTAGACTATAGACTAGACTATAGACTAGACTATAGACTAGACTATAGACTAGACTATAGACTAGACTATAGACTAGACTATAGACTAGACTATAGACTAGACTATAGACTAGACTATAGACTAGACTATAGACTAGACTATAGACTAGACTATAGACTAGACTATAGACTAGACTATAGACTAGACTATAGACTAGACTATAGACTAGACTATAGACTAGACTAGACTAGACTATAGACTATACTAGACTAGACTATAGACTCGACTACAGACTAGACTATAGACTATACTATAGACTAGACTATAGACTAGAATATAGACTAGACTATAGAATAGACAATAGACTAGACTATAGGCTAGACTAAAGACTAGACTAAAGACTAGACTAAAGACTAGACTAAAGACTAGACTAAAGACTAGACTAAAGACTAGACTAAAGACTCGACTATAGGCTAGACTAAAGACTAGACAAAAGACTAGACTATAGACTAGACTATAGACTAGACTATAGACTACACTATAGACTAGACTATAGACTAGACTAGACTATAGACTAGACTATAGACTAGACTATAGACTAGACTATAGACTAGACTATAGACTAGACTATAGACTAGACTATAGACTAGACTATAGACTAGACTATAGACTAGACTATAGACTAGACTATAGACTAGACTATAGACTAGACTATAGACTAGACTATAGACTAGACTATAGACTAGACTATAGACTAGACTATAGACTAGACTATAGACTAGACTATAGACTAGACTATAGACTAGACTATAGACTAGACTATAGACTAGACTATAGACTAGACTATAGACTAGACTACAGACTAGACAATAGACTAGACTATAGACTAGACTATAGACTAGGCTATAGACTAGACTATAGACTAGACTATAGACTAGGCTATAGACTAGACTATAGACTAGACTATAGACTAGACTATAGACTAAACTATAGACAAGACTATAGACTAGACTATAGACTAGACAATAGACGAGACCATAGACGAGACCATAGACTAGACCATAGACTAGACCATATACTAGGCTATAAACTAGACCATAGACTAGACTATAGACCAGACTATAGACTACACTATAGACCACACTATAGACTAGACTACACTATAGACTAGACTATAGACTTTACTTTAAATCTCAGAATTGATTTTCTCCAGAAATTACCTTCTTTAAATAAAAATAAATTTTTACCCAAAAATTTGCTTTTTTACAAAATATCGAACTTTTTGCAGAAAAAATATCGAATTTCAAAGTTAACTTCACACTCAGAAAAAACAGTCTTTAAATCAGATCATAAATCTTTAATATTTATTGTCAAATTTTAATTATTATTTTTAAATAAAAACATCATTACATTTCAAATTCATATGTCCTACAACACTAAAACCTTATTTTCGTTCCATTTATTTACCACGATTAATAACAATAGGTTGAACATCAGCGCCACCATTGTAACCGCCTTTGAGTCCACCAAAACCGCACTTCTTGCCTTTACATCCAGCAAAACCAGGTTTGTTACCATACCAGTGGGGGAATTTACCACCACCCACTATGGGTCCAGTTTGGAGACCATTACAAAATGTGCGAGTATTAAGGGGAATGCCAGTGCACATGTTGCTATTAACAATCTTATAAGCTATAAATTTTCAAAAAGAAGACAAATTAAAAAACATTTTCTTAGTTGACCAAACCAACATTCACAAAATACGTACGAGTCTTGCTGGCACAATTGAAAATCTCAAATTCACAGCGATTTTTAAAGTTCTTGCACAAATTGGAACCACCAAAACGACCACAGACAGGAATATTATCATTGCAGGTCTCTACATGGGAAACACAAATTTTAGCTGCCTGGCTGCTGGGGCAGACCATCAAAAGGACAACCACTAGTAAGGAAGCTACTAAGAATTTCATTTTAAGTTTTTTTTTATTTATGACTCTGATATCAGTTTCAATTAGAAAGTTTAGAAAACTAATGTTGTTAGATTTAGAAAAATGCTCATGTTTTATAGTTAAAGAGAAATATATTGCCTTCTGCTTGGTGATTAAAGTAGACAACCTTGAATTTAGTTTTTTTTCGAGACATTTGTTTAAATATTGTTTCAATATTTATATATTTGGGAAAGTTATTTTAAATAAACCTTATTTGGAATAACTAACATGTGTTTATATTTTTAAACTATTTTAGATTTTAGTTTAACACTCATTGGGTTTATAGTTTTATTTACAAAGAAGTGTTTTAATTTTGTTAAAATAATGTAGGTTAATTAAAACTTCTGCCAATGCTTAAAAATTTTTAGCTAAATATTTGCTTATAAAGAATACACATGTGTCTGTTAGTAAAAAATACATTGATGCCAATGTCTTTTTGAACTGATATTGTATCAGTATCTGGTAATTGATATGAGAAGTTGAGAAATCAACTTTTATTATTTTTTAAATAATCCATAACATAAACTAGATATAGTCCAGACTATTAACTAGACTCATATCCAGACTATAAACTAGACTAAAATTCAGACTATAGACTAGACTATAGCGCAGACTATAGACTACAGTATAGCTTAGACTATAGACTGGACTATTAGATAATAGACTAGACTAGAGACTAGACTTTAGACTGGAATATAGACTAGAATATAGACTAGACTATAGACTATACTTTAGACCTATAGTCTTGTCTATAGTATAGTCTATACTATACTATAGACTAGACTAGACTATAGAATATACTTTAGACCTATAGTCTTGTCTATAGTATAGTCTATACTATACTATAGACTAGACTATAGGCTAGACTATAGACTAGACTATAGACTAGACTATAGACTAGACTATAGACTAGACTACAGACTAGACTACAGACTAGACTATAGACTAGACTATAGACTAAACTACAGACTAGACTATAGACTAGACTACAGACTAGACTACAGACTAGACTATAGACTAGACTATAGACTAAACTACAGACTAGACTATAGACTAGACTATAGACTAGACTATAGACTAGACTATAGACTAGACTATAGACTAGACTATAGACTAGACTATAGACTAGACTATAGACTAGACTATAGACTAGACTATAGACTAGACTATAGACTAGACTATAGACTAGACTATAGACTAGACTATAGACTAGACTATAGACTAGACTATAGACTAGACTATAGACTAGACTATAGATTAGACTATAGACTAGACTATAGACTAGACTATAGACTAGACTATAGACTAGACTATAGACTAGACTATAGACTAGACTATAGACTAGACTATAGACTAGACTATAGACTAGACTATAGACTAGACTATAGACTAGACTATAGACTAGACTATAGACTAGACTATAGACTAGACTATAGACTAGACTATAGACTAGACTATAGACTAGACTATAGACTAGACTATAGACTAGACTATAGACTAGACTATAGACTAGACTATAGACTAGACTATAGACTAGACTATAGACTAGACTATAGACTAGACTATAGACTAGACTATAGACTAGACTATAGACTAGACTATAGACTAGACTATAGACTAGACTATAGACTAGACTATAGACTAGACTATAGACTAGACTATAGACTAGACTATAGACTAGACTATAGACTAGACTATAGACTAGACTATAGACTAGACTATAGACTAGACTATAGACTAGACTATAGACTAGACTATAGACTAGACTATAGACTAGACTATAGACTAGACTATAGACTAGACTATAGACTAGACTATAGACTAGACTATAGACTAGACTATAGACTAGACTATAGACTAGACTATAGACTAGACTATAGACTAGACTATAGACTAGACTATAGACTAGACTATAGACTAGACTATAGACTAGACTATAGACTAGACTATAGACTAGACTATAGACTAGACTATAGACTAGACTATAGACTAGACTATAGACTAGACTATAGACTAGACTATAGACTAGACTATAGACTAGACTATAGACTAGACTATGACTAGACTATGAACTAACTAAGACTAGACTATAGACAGACTATAGACAGACTAGAGACTAGACCTATAGACTAGACTATAGACTAGACTAGACTAAGACTAAGACTATAGACTAGACTAACTATCGACTAGACTATAGACTAGACTATAGACGAGACTATAGACTAGACTAATAGACTAGACTATAACCTAGACTATAGACTAGACTATAGACTAGACTAGAGACTAGACTATAGACTAGACTATGACTAGACTATAGACTAGACTATAGACTAGACTATAGACTAGACTATAGACTAGACTATAGACTAGACTATAGACTAGACTATAGACTAGACTATAGACTAGACTATAGACTAGACTATAGACTAGACTTAGACTAGACTATAGACTAGACTATAGACTAGACTATAGACTAGACTATAGACTAGACTATAGACTAGACTATAGACTAGACTATAGACTAGACTATAGACTAGACTATAGACTAGACTATAGACTAGACTATAGACTAGACTATAGACTAGACTATAGACTAGACTATAGACTAACTATAGACTAGACTATAGACTAGACTATAGACTAGACTATAGACTAGACTATAGACTAGACTAAGACTAGACTAGACTAGACTAGACTATAGACTAGACTATAGACTAGACTATAGACTAGACTATAGACTAGACTAACTAGACTAGACTATAGACTAGACTATAGACTAGACTATAGACTAGACTAGACTAGACTATAGACTAGACTATAGACTAGACTATAGACTAGACTATAGACTAGACTATAGACTAGACTATAGACTAGACTATAGACTAGACTATAGACTAGACTATAGACTAGACTATAGACTAGACTATAGACTGGACTATAGACTGGACTATAGACTGGACTATAGACTGGACTATAGACTGGACTATAGACTGGACTATAGACTGGACTATAGACTGGACTATAGACTGGACTATAGACTGGACTATAGACTGGACTATAGACTGGACTATAGACTGGACTATAGACTGGACTATAGACTGGACTATAGACTGGACTATAGACTGGACTATAGACTGGACTATAGACTGGACTATAGACTGGACTATAGACTGGACTATAGACTAGATTATTGACTGGACTATAGACTGGACTATAGACTGGACTATAGACTGGACTATAGACTAGATTATTGACTGGACTATAGTCTGTTCTTTACCCTGGACTATAGTTTGAATTATGATATAGTCTAGTCTTGTTCATTAAAAGTTTATGAGTTGATTTATTGCTATCATAGTTATCATAATACTGACTCCACATATGTAGTAAAACTTTTCACCTCATTATAACACCCTAATTATAGTTAAAGGAAATTGTTTAACAATTTCAAATTTAAGTGTTCAAATAGAGAAAACCAACCCATAAATTACTACTAGTCACTCAAAAACTAAATAAATTTATATTTTTTTACTGACTTTATAAAATAAAATGAACAAATCCCTCTTCTAATTAAGTAAAACTATTGCTTTATTAAGTTTCAAAAACTATAAAAGATGAATTTATTATACAAACAATGTACAAAATTACAAAAACATGTCAATCTTACTTGTACTACATACATAATAATTGCAATTAAAATTAAACAACAATATCCTTGTTGGAGTAAACTCAAGCAAAAATTTTTATCTTTTTCGGTTTACCCAGCAGCATATCAGTATAAGTTATGATTCATTAAATTCTCATTAAAATTTTTAACAAGTTTTTTAAAAGTAAATGTCAACACATAAATTTGGCTAGAAATCATATACCCAGAAATGGACCAAAAACCATAAAAAATATGTATGTTACAATGTTATTTAAAATAACTATTTTACACACTCTTAAAATTAAAGAAGTATTTGAAAGAGTAATAATTTTAATTTTCTTACATGTTTAATTTTTTACCTAAGCTTTATACCTAAACTATAAAATATTTTGTTGCTTTAATTTTTTTTAATGAAAGATTTTGTTTATTTTTTGGTTAGTTACCATCAGAGCTTCATGTTTATGTTTATCATTTTGTTCTGCCGTTCACCTAAATCTACACAAGTAACAACGGAGGAACAGACAGACAACCAACCATACCAACCAACGAACCAACATAAAGAACAAATGACATCATGTCTAAACATGAATTTAAACATTGACTGACAGGAAACAGGAAACTTGTCTTTGGTAGTTTACCAGAACAGAAAATAATTAAGGCGCTAATAATTTAAGATAATCATCAACATTTTCAACATTATCATCATTATTAACATCATTCACTTTGTTGTAAAATTTCACCTCTTTTCTTGCTTGTCTTTAGGTTTATCATCCTTTCTTTGTCCCTTTGTATATGTGTGTGTGTGTCTCTTCTCCACTTATTACTCTCATACTCATAAATTGTAACATGTACTTGCATGCATGCAAAAGCGAGTAATAAATGGTAGAGTAGTGAATGGATGGCTGCTCGAGTAATTAAGTGTTCGTAGAGAAATTATGGTTAACAAACTTTAATCCTTTGAAAAAGTCGTAAATTTAACAAAGGAACCGAAATTTGTGAATAGATTAAGCAGAATCATTAGTTTCCCGTTTTGTTAAATGAGAAAAGTAAAGAAAATTTACGTTCTTCTCTCGGTGGGGTTAATATAAAATCATTGGTTTTAAAACTTCTTCAATATGTTGACTTGTAAAATGTCAGTGAAAAGGGGAGGGATAGAGAAGATTTCTTTAAATGTCTGTTTAAAATGAGGTGTTTAATATTTTTAGGATAAAATCTTTGTAACGTGTACATAACAAGAGTTATTTTGATGTCTGTACTATGAAAATAATAATTATATAATTTAAACTAATCAGCTCAGAAATTGCAGTTAAGAAACAAACTTTTCAATTTTGAAAATAATTAGAAGAACCTAGGTACTCATGTCATTAATTGGATAAGGACTAACCCTGTTGAAATTTGTTCATGGTAAATGGTCAATAATTACCTTAA